ACTCAAGCTCCACCACGGCGTTGGCCAATATCTCCTCCTGCATCTTCTCGTCCCTGAGATCGGATGTAATCCTTGCAATGATAGTTTTTGCAAGCTCAACCTGCTCGCTCTCCTTCAGCCGTTGCTCGTAGCGCACCCAGCTGTCTGGGACGGTCTTGAGCTCGGATGCCAGTGCAACCTTTTGATGCTGGATAAACGCTTCTGCCTCCAACCAGGCAGTTTCCTATATACATCATATCACGTTAGATCTAAAATACTAAAAGACCACGCCCCGACCTTCGAAACGGGAAAGAGCCCCTGCGTCAGCGACATGACGTCCTTTATCTGTTTGACAGAGCGGATGCGGTCTTTTACAGCCTTGAGTATGCTCGGCACGTGAGTTTTCCAAAGCGGTCTTGACACGTTCGATAGCGACACGATGTCCCTCATCTGTTTAACAGAGTTGATGCGGTCTTTTACAGCCCGAGTATGTTTGGCACGCGAGTTTTCCAAGGTGGTCTTGACATGCTCGATAGCAACACGATGTCCCCTGTTTAACAGAGTTGATGCGGTCTTTTACAGCCCGAGTATGTTCAGCACGCGAGTTTTCCAAGGCGGTCTTGACACGTTCAATGTGGCCATTGACCTAGTCACAGTCGGGCCCACTGATAAGCTAGGCACATGATTATGAGTGTATGTAACAGCGTATTAACAGAACCACATACCTTAGCAATGTAAGCAGGGAGGACGAATGTCCCTGCTGCGACCACAGTTTCCTCATTCACAACATAGACTTCTTGAGAGATGGCCATAGCAGGAACACCAGTACCGAGGATTGCAGTGCCAGCCTCGATGATGAGGTTTGGTGAGGACGGGAGGGGATTTACGATTTATGAAGCACGCTCAGAAGGAGGGGGATTTGATGTGCTGTAGCAAGTAGGCCAGTACCGAGGATTGCAGTGCCAGTCTCGGTGATGAGGTTTGGCGAGGACGGGAGGGGATTTGATGTGCCATAGCAGGAAGGCCAGTACCGAGGAGATTTTGGGAGGACGAGAAGGAATTTATGGTTTCTGAAGCACACTCAGAAGGAAGGGAATTTGATGTGCTCGTGACACCGCTGGAGGTGAGATCATCAGCTAACATGGCTTGGTTCAATAGTTGGACTGAGGAAACGTACGCATTGATCATGTGGGCAACGGTGGGCACTGTGCGTTAACGCGGCTTCAAGGCGAACTGTGAGTACACAAACCGTTAGCGGATGTAGATGAATCAACCAAATGCCTTGTGTATTCAGTGCAATCCTGGGCGCCAATGCGATACTTTGTGGACAAAACTAGAAATATCTAGCTATAGCTGCACCATATTTACACTAGTCCTCAGAATTCATTGCACTTCGTAGTACATGTATTGCAAATAACTACCTTAGACTTGTGACATCACAACTCCCACCTTGCCGCGTCCAATCAGTTTATGACCGGTAACTGAATATCCTGTCGCGATGGTCAGACAGAAGGCATCTGGGACCAAGCATGCCATGTCGTCCCCAGACAAGCCCAAAAAGAGGGCAAGGGTATCCACCGCGAAAGAACTACCTAGCTTGCATACTGCCCACCGAATTAAAGAAGCTGGCAAAGAAACTCACCTTCGGGCAGCCAAGACGAGAGCGGCATACTCGGGACATGTCCACCGAGTGCGCTCGTGGCTGCAGAGCCATTTTCCAGAGGAGGGGACACCACCGACTCCAAATCACACCGGAGAGGACTCTGAAATCTACAGTGATCCAAATTTTAAGAACGCGTTTGAGCGCGTGCCAAATAGGTGCTCAGATAAAGCATTAGCCCTTTACCTTTCATGGAGAGGGTTCCAAGAAAATAGCAGCCAAAGCACCATTGACGGTGTTCGAGCGGGATTCAAGATGTTGTGGGACGAAGCATGCGTGGCATGATTGCTCAGTTTTCCTTGATGCTCATAGACTAATACCTTCGGTGTAGTGATGGTGCGACGTTCCGCGGGAAGTGGCATCACAATGATGCCCATCACCGATGGGAAGGCAACCCAGTCCTGTCGGCAGAAGTTGACGACGTCATGGCATCTATCAGACACAAGGTTAGTTCCGAAGGAGCTGAACGGAAGCACTCGGGTGCCATGAAGAAGGAATACATGGATAAGATACTTGCCTGGTCAGAATCATTTTGTCCACTTGACGCCCCACTCCAATACATTCGTCTTGCGACGATAGGCTACAAAGCGCTGCCATCGGGCGAGTCCTTGAATGGGAAAGTGAAGCTAACGGTCACACGGCACCTCGAACACCTTGCCTTTAGCGCTGTCGCATTTACGCTTTGGACGAGGTAAGTCCTGGCAGGTGGTTTGACCAACAACGTTTTCGATCATGGCTTATGACAGGAACTACGAGCTCCTGAAACTAAAGCGTGGGGATGTCAAGCTTGACAAGACTGTCATAGATGGCGTGTTCATGAAATACCTTCGAGGCGAGGAACTCTCCCTCACCATTAGCGAGCGCAATGCTTACTTCGAGATCCACCTAAAAAACTGTAAGGGATGGCAGAGAAAGTTAGATAAGGGGATGAGGGAAGCTGACCTACGAAGTTTGTCTTTATATCCATCTGTGCATATCCCATTTTATCTGATCTCCTTTCGTTGGTACTTACCAGGCAATCGCTACAAGATTTATCCACGCCTGGATATGGGCAAGGCGTGTGACACCCTCCTGCGCCTCGTGTCCTGGATGAAATGGGTCGAACTTGTCCATCTCGGCCGGCCGATGACTGAAGAGGATTTCCTTTTCCCCGCGATTGGCACAAATGGCGTGCTGCAACCGGGTGAGCCGCTTTCCCATGACACAATCCAAAAATGGATCGACGAGGCAGTGGTGGGGTCCGGAATTCCCGGAACGTTCACAACGCATTGCTACCGTCATGGTGGAGTGCAATACCGCTTCATGTTTGCGCCAGTGGGGCAGCGATGGACCCTTGCGCGGGTCCGGTGGTGGGGGGGATGGGCTGAAGGTGAGCATGTGAGTACTTCGTCCTCCTTCCTATCTGGGTGTGTAGTAAAGTCAACCGACTCCTTACCTTTCGCTCCACACGACTATGCAGCGCGACACACTGATGCGCTACCTCCTCGACGAGTTGAATTGCTACAAAAACGACCACAGCGACGCGCTGCAACCAGTCCCGCGCGAAGGTGATCGTTCACTCGCAGGCGAAGCTGCGCTCATCCGGCCAGCATCCACCAAGGCACTCAACATGGCACATGCATCGATAACAGCCGACATGGCAGCGCTACACACGACTGTGAAGGAAGTGAAGGAAACCTCGTGCTCACTTTCAGTAGATGTAAGGGAGATCTGCCAACAGCTCAGCGACATGAGCAACCTGGTCATAAAGGCCCTAACCTTGGCCTCTGCATATTCAGCCCCTTCTGGACCTGTGCTGCGCCAGGGCACTACCGGCAGTAACACTCGAGCGATGCCAATAACAGGTGAGCCTCGTTGATTCTGTGACTTCTACCACACCAACTGACCAGCCGCATGAATCAGCCTACCAACATTCACCTGCGCAGACCACAACGTCGTCGCCCCCAGTGATCCAGTCCACTTCCATGCCAACAGCGGGTGAGTCTCATTCATTCTATGACTTCCATCGCACCAACCGACCAGCCGCATGGGTCAGCCCACCGGCGTTCACTTGCGCAGACCACGGCTTTGTTGCCCCCAGCGATCCAGTCCGCTTCCATGCCAGCAGCCCAGCCATACCTACCTACGCTCAATTTACAACCGACTCAAACGCAGTTCAGGATGCCGCAAGTTGTCCAACCGTCAGATCTTTCGCCCTCAACGTCCCTCCCTTCGCAGATCGGACCCCAGAGGACCAAGGCCCGTGCCTCTACCTCCCTTCTGGGAGTTGTCATCCCGGACGTGCCCGTTTTGCGTCCCGATGGGACACGGACCGCAAAGTCGGACTCTTGGAGGGACATAGTACGCCACTGGACGGAGGGGGAGCCACGGCTTGACCTGCACATTCCGCTCAAGGACTGGCCTTATCACTACTACAATGGGAAGAGCGGCCGTCAATTCAATACGAAGTACTCTCAGCGACGCGTCATTGCGACGGAATTCCTTGACGAGTAAGTCAGCTTGTCACACTTCTACCACTCGCCCAAGTCCCTCTGACACGGTCCCCAGATTCCAGGGAGACGAGGAAACCTTCCTCAAGGTCTATGGAAGTGCCGTCGGTCAAGGACACACGAAACTCCTCAAAGCGATCTTGGCCGCCCACAAACGGTATTGTGGAGCTGGGGAGCGCCATCGTCGCCTCACAAGTGAAGAAGTCTGCAACGATTCTTCTTCGGGCGTCAGCGAGCAGCACTGATGCATATCACACCAAGGTCGTCGTTCCACCATTGCCATCCTGTTCTTTTTTTCTTCTTTTGTTTTCTTTCTCTTAATACATCTATCACTCACTTGTCGATACTATCACCCCAGCATCACCCGAGCTCGTGATGTACTACATCACTAGTCGCATACTCGTACATGTGCAGTAGCCTATGACTTGTCATACGTACGCAACGCACAACACAAACATCGTTAATCGCAAGCATCATTCGTCCACCCATCATATCCTGAGCGTGCGCGTGCGCACGCAATACCATTATGTGTTTGTTCTACCTAACTCACACGTCCGTTCGAGAGTAGTCCTACACCGCCGTACATAACTGCTTTCGATCCCGCGGAAGCTTCGGGAGTCCTCGATCGCGAGATGTGATCACTGTGACACTGACATAAGCTGAACCTAAACGAGGGGCAGGGCGCCCAAACAACGGCACACGACGGCATGCCGAGCCTACCGGCAGTGGCGCCGAGGTGGCTGAGGCCCGTGACGTCACGGATTCCCGGCCTCTGCGGTCACGTGCGTGCGCCCGCCGCAAATTGGCAGGTGCCCTTCACCGCCACTGCCAATTTCTCGAACTAAGTATGGGCGACGTGGATTATATAAGATTCACGTGATCGCTACGAAGGCCATGTTCACTCTACACAAGATCACAAGCTCACTAGTTGCTAGTGAACAGCCATGTGTTCCGTTGTAAATGATCGTTTTCGTAGAATTTACTCTATATCTGTCCTTTGTCTACAACATTATCAGTATCTACACTGAATATCTCTGCACGTTGAAACTCGTGATGTTGGATCATCCCGCGAGGAACGTCACTCGATTTCAGCGCAGGAACCGCTCCACGACTCTAGTGAGTTGCCGATGATAGGCTTCAACCCACATGGGCTTGAATGGAACAACCCGGAATGGATCAACATGCGATGACGCTCGAGCGGAGCTGATCGAGATCCGACATGCAATGCCTGGTCATGGGACTCTGATAGATACTAGCTGGAATGGGAACATTGCGAGCCTCTCTTGATATGGCTTTAATTATCATCACTGCAGGTCAGATTGTGGACATGTGCCCACATGGTGCGACCCATCTCCACGTGTTACCCACGCGCCCAAAACAAGTGCGTCGATAACACGCCCATTCTTGTATACTTAAAGTACTTCATACCCAGAACCGAGTGTATGGTTAGTTTTACATCCCCCCGCCTCTACACGGTAGTTCTCCACCTTCACCCATGTCCGACCCGGTTGTAGAAGCTGAAAAAGTCGGCGGTGGAACGCCTACCGGCGAATACGAGGGCTCACAGCAGGTTGAGATTCTTGAACGGCCCTCAGGATGGAAGGGATTCACCTCTCATCCGACCGTCCAAGTCGCACTATTGGGTTTCGTCTGTTTCATGTGCCCCGGCATGTACAACGCCCTCTCCGGTCTTGGTGGTGGTGGTCAAGTCAACCCAACGGCCCAGGCCAATGCTAGTTCCGCTCTCTATGCTACATTCGCCTTCTTCGGCTTCTTCTCAGGGTAGGTTTTGGTGCCTTCTAAACCTTCGACATATTTCGACTGACCCTTGGTTCAAGGACGATCAGTAATGTCCTTGGAGCTCGCGCTACTCTCATGCTGGGAACTTTGGGATATCCTCTCTATATATCCTCCTTTTTGTGTGTCTGAACTTCTTCGTTCATAGTACCCATGGTTACGCTATCTTGACCTTCGCAGAGTTGTCAACGTTCATCCCAATGCGACGGCATATGTTATCGCGTCGGGAGCCGTCCTTGGTGTCTGTGCAGCCATGCTATGGACTGCACAGGGTTCACTTATGATGGCATATCCCACCGAGGCACAGAAGGGTTTGTACATCGGTATCTTTTGGGCGATCTTCAACTTGGGTGGCGTAGTGGGCTCTGCCGTCGCTTTTGCTGAGAATTTCCACTCTACGGCAAACGGCGGTGCGTGTCATGACGTATAGAACATAGCGCATAATATCTGACTGGCGTGACGGCGAGCAGTGAGCAATGGTACTTACGTGAGTCACGTTGAAGTCAATACGTTGGCAAGCACTAACGAAGCTCCTCACAGATTGGTTTCTTGGTTTTGACTATTACTGGATTCTTTCTTCCGCTTCTTATGACCAATCCCGAGATGATGACCCGGACTGATGGCACGAGGGTCGTCCTCGTTCGTCATCCATCCTGGAAGGCGGAGTTCCTCAACCTGTTTATTGCGCTCAGAACTGACCCTTGGATTGTACTGCTCTTCCCAATGTTCTTCGCCAGCAACTACTTCTATACGTGGCGTCAGTATCCATGGTCTGGAGTATGCATTTCGCTGACAGCGCATTTTGCAGAGTTCAATGACTACAACGGTGCTATCTTCACCATTCGTGCGCGAAGTCTGAACAACTTCGTCTATTGGTCTGCTCAAATCTTTGGTTCGGTTTTCATTGGGTACTGCATTCTTGACAAGAAGCGCCTCCGGCGCAGAACTCGTGCATTCCTTGGATGGGTTATCGTCTTTCCCATGGTCTTCATTGTCCATGTATGGTCTTATTTCTACCAGAAGTGTGTTTTACTTTCCACCTTCTGTGAACAACGATTTTGAACGCCTTGCCATCTAGGACATACACTCGTGCATCCGAAGCTAATAATTCCAACAAAATCGACATATATGATAGCTCGTTCCCTGCACATATCTGGCTCATGATCTTTTATGGATTCTTGGATTCAATGTGGCAGACATACGCGTATTGGCTTATGGGTGCTATGTCAAACGACATGGCCAAGCTAGCCGTCTTCACCGGGTTCTGTGAGTTACTCTGATGTGTGCGAACGCCGTCCTCTGCATCAGCTCACCTTCAGGGATACCATCCTTAACATATGCAATTTGGTAGACAAGTGCCTCCAATCTTGCGGCGCAGCTGGCGTATGGCGTGCAGATGGCGTTGGGTTACCGTGAGTATTTCCATCCTACATGTCTTGGTCATGCAGGCTTTTTTCCACGTCATTGATGTTTCAACGAACAGTTATATGAACATATTTATCTCAACTTGGGGATTGAGCGCCGCAGGCATGCTGTTTGCCTTCCCGATGGTATACTTCCGCGTCAAAGATCATACCGAACTTGAGGACGAAACGCTGTAAGTGACCCCCAGAATCCTTATTCGCTTTTCGGTGACCTTTCCGCGGATTTTATCGTCCTTTTTCCTTCCCGCTCTCTTCCTGGTTACCCAATTTTACGACACACTTTCAGGATGCATGTATCTGGCACGGAGCAGGTAACAGCTGGCCCGAGTTTGGTGACCCCAACAGAACCTGAGACTTGAGGTGTTGCTTAGACTGTCCATTGCAAAGGGATTTTCTGGGACGGTACCCTGCATTTTCGTGAGGACTCTATGGACTTTCTTACTTGCTTGACCTGTAGGATAGAGATGCAGAACTTTCTGGGTAACTGGGGAAATGAGCGAATAGCCACTTGATTTTGGTCAGAATACCGGCAATCTATTTCCGTCCGGAGAGCTGCAGGGCCATAAAATTCGAAAGCAACCATGCGCTCAGTGTACACGAAGGTGCCAAAATACTGAAGTCGCACACGTAAACTGGCTGAAACCATTAGACAAAAACAAAAAAGAGAAGGGAGTTGCCCCGGAAACCACCGGCGACGCCGACTGTAACCAAAGCTCCGCGCCATAATGAACGTCTATCTTTAGCCCCTCACATTTACGCCGAGATATCCTTCGCCCTCGGCGCCGTCCCCTTCTCCTTCAGCTGTGTCTTCCACCTCGCCGGCCTCTGGGATAGGCGGTTTATCGCCTCTGCGTTCGTCTTCACGTTGCATCGCGTCCCTCAGGACGGCGACGTCCTGGTCGACCTTGGCTGCGACACGGTCGATACCAGCTGCTTCCGCGAGGGAGACGCGAGCACGGTGTTTGGCGAGGTGGGCGGATCGCCTTGGGGGTCGTTTTAGGCGGCGGCGGGTGACCATGACGGGGACGGAACAACGCTGGAGTGGCTGCAATCAGAAAGGCTAGACACCTAATATGTATCGATGCGCACCTGAATGAGGTAGTGCGAAGTCGAACCCAACAAAATACTGCAGTAGCATCAGTTCTCTGAACGAGGTCAAGGCAACCGTAAAATGTACCCTCTGAGTTGTCCCAACCCTCTTGACCCGACGATCAACATCGTTGGTTCGTTGTAATCCACGACATCAAGAAGCATGTGACGCGCGTTCTTGGCGTGCCAAGCTTGACAAGACACCGTCACATTCAATCGCGTTCGTTGCAGTAACGACGTGGCCTGTCGAACGAGGATGTAGGCGAGACCTTGGCGCTGCGTTCGAGTTAGATACGGAAAAAGAACGCACACAATCAACGACGTACTTCTTGCTGACTGCGCAATTTTGTGGCACGGTCTGTGGAGTTGGGAAGGATGGGATCGACTAGGAATACAACGGCATCGGCAAGGGTTTCTGACGACGATATCACAAGCGACCAAACCTTTGTTCTCGTTCTCCACTACTGTTACGATGAGCCTGTGGGTAATCAATATAGTACTGACAAGAGCGAAAGAGAGAGAAATACACACATCTCGTCGCCATCACGCAATACCGTTCCAATTCCCCACTCAACAGCATACCTGCTTTCTTCACTTAAATCGCTCGCTACCACGTACGTCTTCTTTCTCCTTTCAGAAGCGACTGGGTCTCCTTGGACGATGGTAATGGTACATCGATCACGCTGGAATAGAGGCCTGGATGTCGAGAGGGGTAGCAACTCATGTGGTCGAGATTTCTTCCTCTTTGGTGCCCCTCGCTTCCCGCGTGACGAGCTGAAACTCGTACGATTCAGGGTGGATGGGAAGTATGGCTCTGGAGGTATAATGACGTTTACACCCTCGCCATGAGGGTCGGGATCAAATGCAGCATCCGCATCCGCATCAATCTCGCTCATTAAAGAGGCGTTCTGCTCTGTGTTACGCTCTGTGAGGGTGTCGTAAATCCCGATCATATCGTCGCTCCAGTCGTCTTCTTCGTCTTCAGTTTCTTCACCAGCATATTCGGAACCTGAATCAGGGTCATCGGTGAAAGCGGTGCGGGGACGAACTGCGGGAGAGCGCTTTGAGATGAAGGATTCACAGTCAGACTCCTCGAGGGGGAGGGGGGTGGGAGAGGACTCGCGATCACGGGAGCGCCAACGACGAAGGGAGAACGGAGACTGGGAGCGTGCGCGATGAGAATCTTTGGACATCGTCGATGCACCGTCTTTTTCTTTCCCGTTGGAGGGGTAGACGAAAGATGATGATCGGGGCTTGCTCTTGTTCGAGCTACGTCCCCGGGATTCTTTGTCTTTGTCGTCGGTTGCTGAAGTACGTGAGAGAGACAACGCAGAGAGGCCACCTAGCATGGAATTGAATGCCATCTTTCCAAACGAGCCAGCCGGACGGGAAGACAGCTCTGGCTTCGCAGGGTTTGGCAGTGGGTTGGGAGAGGTGGAGAATTGGGATGCGTGGTCATCAGAATTCTGATCGGCCTGTACGCACGAAGGGAAATGAGGAGATGTTTGGAATGAAGAGAATAAAGAAAATGCAGCAGATGAGATTCCTCTGGGGGTGCTCGGTCTCGAGGACCCACGTGAAACTGGGCGAGGAGTGTTTACACTCGTGTCACAAACAGAGAATGTGTGTCTCCTCTCTGGAGGAGGGGAAGAGATACCACCGTCCTGATGAGAGGTAAAGGCGCCGGTGTCCTTTGGCTGTTGACCATACCATTGCAACCAGCTACTTCGGCGGCGACGTGGAATGGGTTCAGAGGCAGGTGACTCGATCATGGTGGTACGGGATATGCACCGGCGGAGAAGTCCGGTGTCGGAGAGACAACGGGCCACTGATAACAATGCAAAAACAGTATGGTGATGCTCACCTGAGGGTGCAGAGACTTGGGTTGGGTGGCTGGGTCAGTCGAGGCTGGTCCACCATAAACCTGGAAAACGCCAAGATAAGTTTCGTGAAAAAGCTCCAAGAACCCAATCAGAAAATGCACAGGTATTTGAGCGCTTAATGAGGTGACTGGGAGTAGATGGGTCCTTGGCAAACTGCCATTATGTACTTACTCCATTACCACCGCTCATATTAGTTGTGCCCGCAGGACCTATCTTAGATTGATATGACACTGGGATGTCTGTTCCTGTTGAACGATGAACCTTTGCAAGCGTCCGTCACCGGTCTTCCTGGCCTGCGGTGAGGGTGGTTATGAGCGGAGGTTTGCTTGGCCAATAGCTTGGCAGGATATCATCACTTCCAAATTGGGATATCACATCTTGTCATATTATGTAACACGTGATGTGACTATCACCGTACTACAGCAACCTAGTCGACATTGAGTCGACAGATTACAAAACACAAAACTCGCATGAATCCATTCCAATGTGGGTCGTTTCTCTACACCATACCTCTAATGTCTTACTCTCCTTGCCGAATTCAAAAAGTATTATACACGTAAGGTCCACTTGTTGTCACTCCCGAAACGAGCTGAGCCAAGTTAAATATTCAAATCACGCATTCTGCCCCAGTCATCAAGGTATTTATCCTTCACAGGTTTGCGCTTGCATCAGATTTGGATGATCCAAAAATTTCATCCAGGAATGCTTCTGAATTGGGTGGCCGACCTAGGAAATCCTAGCGGGAGAGTAAGGTCATCACATCATCTCCGTGACTGTCATCACGAAACTTGCCTCGAGCGACATCATTTCGTCTCGACTTCCACCCGGTAAGAGAATCTTGCTGCGATATAGTTGACCAAGCGCTGGGTCCAATGGGTCCCTTTGGAACACTGTTCTGTACATGTCTGCAGCAAACACCAACGAGTATGTGTATCTGTACACAGAAGTGTGGTTATGAGGTGTCTAGATGTGGTCAGCTACACGACTCACCCGTAGTATCCTGCGTCATACCCCCCAACGATGTGGCCAAACGAGCCCTGACCAGGTTGGGGTTCACTACTTTTAACGAGGGATATCCTCTCTCGCATCTCGGTCCAAAGATTGGTATAATCCGTTGGATCTGAATGGTACGCACATCTGGTCAGCATCTTGCTCAGTAATCGAAACAATGTACTTCAGACCTTTGTCAGTATGAACTTTGAGATCGAACTTCGCAAAGAAGAGTTGCCGAAGGTAGAATAGTCCCACATTCACATAGCGACTGTGTGCGTTGTCAGTACAAGCGGTCATAGAAAGGGTGCGTGTGTAGTGTGACAAACCTCTGGACGATCTTTTCGATGAGATCAGCTGAGAGCGGGACTTGCTTCTCATAATGGTTTGACATCTTCTCAAGGACTTTCGGCTCCCAACACCTGAGAATTGACATTAATCGACAATTGTGCATCTGGAAATGTATACTACGAACCAGTTCTCCAGCATTTGCGACGGGGCTTCCACAAAATCGCGTGCAACCGCCGTGCCATGGAAACGAGAGTACCGTGTTCGACTCAGGAGACCATGGAACACATGTCCCATCTCATGAAAGAACGTGGTCACGTCGTCGTGCCGCATGAGCGCGGGCCGTTCGGGTGTGGGCTTCGCAAGGTTAGCTACCATCGCCGTAAGGGGATAATGGCGGTTTTTAGATGGGAGGTTATAACCTGGGAGAAGGCCCCAGACTGCGGCATGAGAGTACTTGGCAGCTAAAGCCCGCGTGCATCAGTGATAGGTTCCTGTTGCGACTGCCTGGACATACCGCGAGGGAAGAGATCGAGGTAACAGTACCCGATAAAGCCTGAATCATCATTTGCGTCACTTTCCCAGACTGCAAATTGCTGGACCTCTGAAACCAGATCATAAGCAAGGGCTCCATGCACCTTGGACTACAGGTTAGACTTACCGGGATGCCAGACGTCTTTCTTCCCACCTGTTACCTCTATGAATCTGACTCCCAGCAGGTTTTGGTAAATGCTCAGGATGGTGGGAACAACGACCGAGACTGGGAAATACTCTTTCACAAGGGAATCATCAAGGCTTAGGGTCTTCTCGACGAATAGACGGTCATAGTACCTGTGCAGCGTGTTATGACCGGTGTACAAGTATCCAGTGAAACAAGGCTTTCCTGTAGTCCCAAATGTAGAACTCGCCATCAAAGGGCAAGCCGCGTTTCTCGTGTTCCTCTTTTTTCAGAGAAAGGAGAATTTCGCGTTCTTTGATGCCAACTGGTCGAAGCTTCGCCTCAAGATCGTCCACGAACTACATACAGGAGCGTGAGAGCCTTGCCAGGTAAGATCTAGCCACGGACGACACTCACTGCTTGCGCAGCATCACCTGTCTTCACCATTTTTACCTCTGTGACATAGTCCGCCCACGTCTTATAGCCCAATATAGAGGCAATGCGGCGACGAAGGTCGAGGGCACGCTCCAATAGGGGTACGTTTATTGCCAGCCTGGATTCGTGTGCATCATATGCTCTCTGGCGCGTAGTGGGGCTGACAGCGAATCTGAACTGTGTCGTTGGATCAGCGCATCGAATACTAAGATCAAAATCAGTAATGTAGACGTACGACAGGGAAAATATCAGGCGTTTTGAAAGTCACGTCATAAACTTCTTTGTCGCCTTCCGTACGCTTCGTGAATCCGGAAATGACATCTTCTGGGACCCCTTCGAGCTCATCGCGGGTAAAGGTGATGCGGCCCTGGTTAGTAAACTGATAAGAAACCAGTTAGAGGGTTCAGTTGGGCTCTTACGTCTTCTTCGTTAAAATTTCTCTTCAGAAGGTGACTCAGATCCGTATCAATGCAGGCTAAGAACGGTGGAACGTACCATGAATTCAACAACAACTTGCGATAACTCCTTTTGGAGAGCCATAAGCTGTGTCTTTTCCTCCTCCGGGAGTGCCAGCCCAGCGCGCTTCCCATCGAGAATCATCTTCTCGACCAGCCTTCGCTGTTCACCGGTAAGTCTCTCAAATGCACCGCTTTCACGCAAGTTCTTTTCGGCGGCAACTTTCGCTTGAAAGACGTCCAAACGCATGGAATCTTCGACACCGAAATCTCTCTGAAGCTGTTCCGCTTGAGTGGAAGCATCACGGAGCTCTTTGGATATGGCGACGTTTTGGTAGAATGTGAGAGGTTCGGCTACAATATCGAACCGTGCTTCTGCATCAGCCAGCCGTGCCTGGAGTTCGCCTGAGTTACTTCGAAAGCCAAACTTGCTAAGATTACTCACAAATACCTATCCGAAGACGAATCGTCAGGTCTTCAGTGTGATAACTGGCATGGAAGCAAACGCTCACCGTTTCAAAGTTACATTCAGTGGGCAGAAGAGCTGCGACCTCGTCACTGACGGCCTTGTACTGCGCAATAGCATCCTTCATCAATTGAACCACCTCCTCAGGGGAATGGTCCCATCTTGGTGGGTTCTGCGGAGGCGTCAGGTTGACCATGTCGTCCCTGATGTCACTGGGGAAGTAAAAGATTGGTTCTGTGTTCTTGATGCTCGTCGATAAGCGCCGCTGTCTGTTCTGCTGCAGGTGTGACTGCTGAAATGATGACTTGGTGGATCTTGGACCCCTTGATAACAGTTGCGAGCGAAATGTGATATCCGCCGATGTCGATAAAGAGGGACTGCGATGGCTGATGTAGATGTCTCGTGAAGGTATCTGATTGTAACTGATGGTCACCGTGTTGCTGGTAGTAACTTGAGAAACAAGCCCGATATATCCATGTGCCTTCTCGTGTGTTACCACCCGGGTATAACGCCTCTGGCGAATCCGGTGACAGTGGACACCATGGAAAAGGCGAGGACGACTAGATGAAGCAGATGCACGAAAAAACATGAAACACAGTTTTTTGCAGTGGATGTTTCACAGTTGTTCAACTACCAGATGGCAAAGGGCCTGTCTGGAGTGCAGGGGGGATAGTAAACTCGCCTTAGCTAGTGGCGGACCCCTGACACCTCTTAGTGGGACTCCAAGTGACTGAGACACGACATCTGACTAGTACACCGTCTACAGTTGCTTCATCCCCACTTCCCAATAGTTAATTCAAAGTTAATTGACATGGCGGACCCTACCAAAGCTGAGGCAGAGCAGGTCTTCAGAGTGCTCAGAGCGCAAAAAGGAAACAAAGTAAGTGATATCGTCTACGATCGCCAACGACCAAGCCAAACGGACGCATGGACAGATGTGCTTCGATTGTCAAGCTCGGAATCCGACATGGGCGAGTGTGACATATGGGATATACATCTGTCTAGACTGCTCGAGTGTGCATCGGAACATGGGCGTGCACATCAGCTTCGTGCGGTAAGTCTCTTCGATATCATCGACTCCCCGGCATATTTTCATTTCATACCGTCGCCTCCCCAATAGGTCGACTAACCTGGATAGCTGGCAATTGAACCAGCTACGCACAATGAAAGTCGGAGGGAATGCTTCCGCTACGGAGTTCTTCACTCGCTGCGGCAGTGTCGCCCTCCTGAGCGATGCCGACACAAAGAAGAAATATACCAGCCGAACAGCGGAATTATACAAAGAAGAACTCGCCCGACGTGTAAAAGAAGATGCTAACAAGTATGTAAGATACATACAATAGCCACCTATCCTGAATTAATGGTCATGCAGGTTCCCGAATCGGGTGGTTGTCGAGGGCGCGGAGATTCCTGCAGTCGAGTCAAATCCCCAAGGCGAAGATGACTTTTTCTCATCCTGGGACAAACCTGTCTCACCGAAACCCTCGTCCGGTCCAGTCGCTCATACGACTGGTCCGGTAATTGGCAAGCCCGTTGCTGTCTCGCGCACGGTTACGTCCAGTGCCCTCCGGTCCAACAGTGCATCTGCGGGTAACGGCCCCGCCAAACACGGCAACCCTCGCCTCACCTCATCAAGTTCTATCGCTACTTCATCTACCGTGTCATCCGCTGTGTCCAAAAAGCCAAAACTTGGTGGGCTCGGCGCCAAAAAGGCAGCAACACCAATCGACTTTGCCGAGGCTGAACGAAAAGCTGCAGAGGAGGCGGAGCGGATCAAACGACTCGGCTACGACAGGCAGCGCGAAGAGGAGGAGGAACGTGCTAAACAAGAAGCCGAGAAAGCAGGTCCAGCGGTGAAAGTGAAAGGTGCCGATGCCAGCACAGCCCCAAGAGTTGTAGCCCTTCCCGGAAAGGTCGACCCACAAGGAGGAAGCAGCCAGGACATGGAGAGGTTGGGAATGGGATTCCGGAAGCTGGGCTTCGGTACTGTTCCTACTTCCCCTACCACAGCGTCCAGCGTACGTTCGACGTAAGTTTCGGGTTTTGTTTCTAGTAAGGCGCTGCTAAACGGTCTCTGTAGATCTGTGGATGATGCACCTACTACCGCTCGGGAGAAGTTCGGGAGCCAGAAAGCCATCTCGTCGGATATGTACTTTGGGAGAAACGACTACGATGCTACTGTCCTCGCCGAGTCGAGAACGCGACTACAAAATTTCCAAGGCGCGACTTCGATATCATCTAATCAATACTTTGGACGTGAGGAAGAAGAAGATTTTGAGCGTACCGGTTCCGAGGGTGGCCTCCTTGGAGATGGTAACCTTTCTAACTTAGAGAATATCGCGAGAGACGCCATCACCAAGGTTCTGGCTAATCCGGACTTACAGAATGTAGGTGAAAGCATTAGAACAGGAGCATTGAAGGTATGGATTCCAAAACTCATGCCTTGTCGCGAACTGACCCGTCTCCAAGCTCTCCGACTATCTGGCACAGATGTCTCAGCATTAACTCATAATGATACTGCTTCGATTTACCTTTTAACAAAGACGCTGGTTCCGTAGTCTACCAGTCTACCCTTTTCTCTGTCGATGAAATTAGTATTTCACCAGTATCAATTTAGTGACTCGAGGTGAGACCTCTTGAGACGGATGTTTGAGAGCGGCTGTTTGGACGAAATAAACAAACGTTAGTTGCTTTCCCGGATGCCGCCCGCGAGTCACCTGCGATGATCAGATTCATACTGGTGCAGGTGAACAAACTCACCTATCCAATACATTCATTGGTACTCACCGTTTTTATAGAACCGTCAAGGCAAAACTCGTCTTTCGAAATGGTACGTTCCCTACGATGACGACGAGAAGGTGCGTGGCTGTCGTTGTACTATTCCCTCGGCTCCTAGTTCAAAGCCTACTAGGTCCGACTTAGAGGAGAGGTTCACAGACTGGTTGCTCCGCGTGACCAGAAATACCAATCCAACTTCGTAGAGGTTGGTCTCTGGCGTGGATATGTCACTGCCACTCTCACAATCTTACAGTTTCGGAATCACAAGATAGTGTATCGACGTTACGCTGGTCTCTTCTTTTGTGTATGCGTGGACGCCAACGACAACGAACTCGCATATTTGGAAGCCATCCATTTGTTTGTCGAGATCCTTGGTAAGGATTGGAACGACTGGGTTTGAACGACCCTCACAACCTTTCTCTCGTTCAAGACTCCTTCTTTGACAATGTATGTGAGTTGGACCTCGTGTTCAACTTTTACAAAGTGAGATACTGGGTGTCCTCGTCAAGTGTCATGTTCTTAATTGCAACAGGTGTATGCTATTTTGGATGAAGTGTTCTTGGCGGGTGAGATCGAAGAAACAAGTAAAGACGTCGTTTTGGCAAGACTCGAGCAGCTGGAGAAACTGGAATGATCTCGCATAAGTTCCAGTCCTTTTTATTTCCCGACTGTAATACCGGGGCAACATCTGGCAAAGCGCCATGCTATTTAAGCGAATTCTGGACTCGCACATTCTGAACGCACGAGAGACTCAGTGGTTGACGCTGAAAGAAACTGCTGTCCAACTGCATGAGGATGTCTTGACATCCAATCGTGTGTCTTTTATGCTCACAGACTCGTCTGCTGTACCGCAACTCTGCGATTGGTGCAGTAAGTGCGATCACGTTGTCTGTTACAATGGGGCTAGAGTTTGTATTCTGGAGACACCTTTGTCCCATTGCACGACGCGAGTGTCTTACGCCATTGACTAACGGTGGACAAATTTTGGAAATTCTCTCTCTCAGCAGCCAGCCACGGCAGTTGCAATTCTTCTCAAGTTGCTTGTAAGTCTAAATACACCTCTTTTAGAAACTGTTTCCTGATCGAGTTACTTGTTGCATATCACATCATTCATGTGTAAGGTCTCCGCTCTTCTCCCAGCAACTTGTCCACAGTCCACTTATTCACTGCACTGTACCCCAACGGTGTATTCACACACATGGGACAGTGCATCGGGTGTGTTTTTTAAACTTCGACCTGGCCATCATTAATTGACCCAAAAGGGAGCACTGCTGAGCCTTCTCGGAGTGATCAAATTCCCACCCAAATTCAATATATGTGTGGCGACTGACCAACCCATAAGGCATACAGGTCAGACACAGGAAAATTGCCGGCCCACGTTCAACCTGATTAAACTTAAGCTTGACACTTTTGTATGTAACTTTATGTACCTTCTGGAGACCCTTCGTCGAATGCCGACCGCCTTATCACAGCAAATTAACAGTGTGGTGTTTGGCCTACACCTGCCTCACGAGGATTCCATGGTGAAGTATTTCTCTCCCCGACCACCCGTAGTGCTTCCCACGAACTTCGGAAGTCACAATTTGTTGTGTACCCGAGTTGTCACAAGCTGGGTAGTAACGGTCGATTTGCATAATTCTGTCATTCACACCCCCCAAAAAAAAACATTCCGCATCCCACATGCCGAAGAATTCAAAAGTAGGACACCTTGCGACTTGCAGGTGTCTGCCTGTTTGCGGTCGACGCATGTTTCTGAGCTTCTATCTCATCCGCACATCCTCTCATTGACGGACCTCTTAGCGTAAAATCCTACGGTAAGGTCTACGCTTTAGTCACTTTTCCTCAAGTCAAGATGTTATAGATTTAGTATCTGTGCTGTGACCCCTCAGTTATTCCGCACCTCTGATTTGATCAGTCCCAGAAGTTTGCATTGACTCGAGTTTGGGTGGGTGCCTCTCCTGTCGTTCTTAGTGAAACCACAGTTTCACAAGCATCAGGAAGAAGACCGTAGTTCTTGCATTATCGTTCGTCAAAATTCAAGCAGGGAACTCGCGAAGTGCGGAACGACGGCAACCTTTCGGCGTGTCTACCGGTCGGCCGGCGAACGCAGGTGTAAACACTGCAACATAGTGAGTGTCAAAGAGATGTAGCATCGGTTGTTCTCAGGCCTGTAGTAGGTGCAAGTCTTTTCTTTAGACCTTGTCAATCGATCCGATCACGTGCCCAAATCTTCGTCGTCACTTATGACGACCTTGTGGGGCGCGGATAGTCCATCGGCACTTGCACGCGTCATCACTCGGGGTCATGATGTCATTTAGAGGGAAGTTATCGGGCTTCGCGTAGTTTGCACGGCGACAATATAAATAGGATGAGTCTGTAAAGAGGGCACATTCAACATCGAACATTCTCTCGTATCACTAGTCACCATGTCCGAAAACCAGAACCAAACTCAGAACCAAGAGCCTAGGTATTTTCAGCGTGTTCTTTGGCGAGAGGCGACTGAACCATCTTCCTAAGCAAACTCTCTGGTCAGTTCCATTCCACGAAGGGATCGATTGTCGAGGCGGTGTGTGTTCTGTAGTCTGTGGCTTTTTCGATTCTCATGGTTCTTTAGATCGGGGATGCAACCGGCGCACCGTCGTGGTCGCAGTCAGGAAAAGAAGAGCATGCCCGCGGTGAGGGGGAGTACATGGCCGCCCAAGCCGAGGGCTATGCACAAGGTTTAACAGACAGAGTTGGGGGGTATAAAGACTCTGTCCTTGGTGCAGTCTCCGGTGATAAGGATCAGCAAGTGAAGGGTAGGTCACAGATTTTTTCTTTACGTTATCACTGTTGTTGACCGTCTCCTGTTGTAGGCAATGCACGGAACGAGAAGGGTCAGACCCAGCAAGAGTTCAATAAACCACAGTGAACCGGATGAACCCTCCGTCAATATTGGGGGGAATGTACCTTCCTGCATTTTATCGGTGGCCATCTGTTCTACCTACGGACTCGTCTTTAATCGATTTCCTCGAAACAGAACTTGCAGGGCGTATGTAGCTTTCCTTTTCTCGTCTAGACGGAGTTTCGTTGAATAGAAAGACTCCTGTCTTTTTTGGGGTTCGTAACATGCACAATCTTCGCTGAGGATAACTCCCGTACCACCACCGTATGTGGCAGTTGAGTGATACTGATGTAAGTTGGTTCATCTCGCCGGTCTGGTGTGGTGTCACACTCCGTCCACTTCGTGGAATGAGGGTTGAATAATGTGTATCGTGGGGACGTCATGATATTCATACTCGGGCGAGTCAGTTTGGCTGCCAGCGATGGTAATTTATTCCTACTCTACGTATGCAAGAGGAAAATTGTATCGATTTGGTACATACCAATGCTACAAACCTGGGAACGATCTCAAAGAGGTAGTAACACAACGGTGTCTTATCTTTCATACGTGGCGCAGACGAGAAATTTCTTGCTACACCCATTCGCGCGGCTCCTTCAAAACATTAACGAGGAGCCCCTCCTCGCTCTCTTCGCTTACCCCAAGATCTGACATATACTCCCACCTTGCCGTCTCCGGCAGACTCATCAAAATGCTCTCAATACGAGCTGATGGAGTCTTTAGTCCGAATCTCGTACCCCTATCATATACCAGGTTGAATTCCACGTAACGGCCCCTGCGCAGGAGTTGCCATCGGCGGTGGTGCTCCGTGTAACGTCTGAATGCGTTGGCTTTAAGAATGGGGATGTAAGAAGGAATGAAAGCGTTTCCGACGCTCTGAATGAATGAGAATATTTCGTCCGGAGTAGCGCGGCCTGGTAATATCGTCCGATAGACGTGTATGCTTCTCACAGCAGAGATCGTCAAAGAACAGCCCTCCAACTCCTCGAGTTTCCTGACGGTGGACGATGTAAAAATATTCGTCGCACCACTTTTTGAAAGCGGGGTAAAGTTCGCTACCGTGCTGATCACAAGCCTCTTTTAGAGTCCGGTGAAAGTGTTTCACTTCAGACTCGTTGAGATAGCTCGGAGTCAGATCCGAACCTCCGCCGAACCACCAAGCGACGACCTTGGGTGGACCCTCGTCTCCCTCGACAGGTGATTCAGTGATTTCGAAGTAGCGATAGTTTGCATGCACGGTTGGTGCGAAGGGGTTCCTGGGGTGGATGACGAGACTGATGCCTGCAGCGAAGAAGGGCAGGCTTGATTTACCGTCGTAAGGGATCGAAGAATGATCGGAGCGCATTTCCCTGATTGCGGATGGTGGGAGCATCCCGTGTACGACGGAGACGTTCACTCCAGCCTTCTCGAGTACGGTCTCGAGAGACGAGGTGGTCCTCCCCGACTCGGGGGAACATGCGAAGACGCATGACAGGCCTCTCCCTCCTTGTTGCCGTATCCACGCATCACGGCGGAACTTTAGAGCTGTCTGGTCCAAGTTTTCCAGCTCGGATACTATCTGCTCCTGCAGCCCATCTATGTATTTCTCCACCCTTTTCCGCATGGGTGGTGTCGATGTCATGGGTGGCGAATGAGGTGGATTGTGCGGCTTGATGGAGCGATATCAGCAGACCTCGACCTCTGGTTATGGCAATATTGGCCGACGCATAACATCCATTACTCCGCTGCTCACGATTGACAGCTGGTGTCTAAGAAATTTCACATATGCTATTTCCAAGGCTTCACTGTGAGATATATACCACTGGGGAAAACCAAGCTGGCGATGGCAACCAGCGCTTGATTGTTCTGACTCGATGAAGTGGCGGATCTTTAGTATGGTGCCACGTGACTGCCTTCAAGTAGTCACCTTCATTACAGCGACTCGCTGCACCAAAACGTCTACTTGGCACTCAATATGGATGCGCGCTTGCGTCGAGTTAACAAGGAGATCGCAGGTATGGAGAGCTTTTGACTGTCGTAGTCGCTCATCAGTGAGAATTGGTTGCCCTCACTTAGACTGTAAGAATGATAAAGCCTCTAATATCAAAATCGACCTCGTCGATTCATCCCCTTTCCATCTGAAGGGATCATTTCCCGGCCCCAAAGACACACCATACGAAGGAGGCGTCTTTGAAGTGGTGCGTTCCATCGTGGCCGCGTACCAGTTGCATATTGACCGAATTCTTCTACAGGATATTGTAGTTCCTGAATCGTACCCCTTTCAAGCCGTGAAGATGAAGTTTATCACTAAGGTGTACCATCCTAACATATCATCGGCGTCTGGTGCTATCTGCCTTGACATTTTGAAAGATGCATGGTCCCCTGTTCTGACCCTCAAATCGACCTTGATATCGTTGCAATCACTCTTATGTTCCCCAGAGCCAAACGATCCTCAGGATGCTGAGGTTGCGAAACATTACATGACAAGCAAGAACAGCTTCGAGGAGACGGCACGGTACTGGACACAGATCTATGCCGGCGGTCCTGGATCGAAAGGGAAGGTGGATACAAAAGAGGCTGCAAAGGATGAAATAGCTATAGCGGGTCTTGAAAAGACTCATGTCACTCAGTTTGAGGGTCTTGGATTCGAGCGGTCGAAGGTGGTACGTACTCGGTCACGTACAGGCCCGTTCGGGACGCTAAACACGGCGGACGCACAGATTGACGTTCTGCGTAGAATGAACTACAGGGGATCTAATGCTGCAAACATACCGGACGAGAGAATAATCGATGAGCTTTTGAAGTGACAAACCGTCAGCATGTTTCCGTGGATACGGACGTTATCGACCTCCTTGTATCCCTTCACTATATCCCTTCATCCCGCAATGTCACTGTACTGTCCTAATTGAACTTGTTTGTCGGTGGAACCTTCCGATCCGACTGCCATAACCTTGATGTGTATTCTACATGCACTCCTCATGGCAGAGGAAGCAATGTGGCGTCAAGACGGCAATGTCCAAACGCATGGTGATTGGACGGTTAAATGCAATTGCTTCTTACAGGTGCCATTAACCACGAGTCCCTGACAAATGCATAGGCCCGCTGTGATCGTCAGCGTCCCACAGGGTGGTACCAGATACCAAGGGAACTGCCGAAGCAACGAGGGACAGCAAGTACCGCGGTAAGCATTGGATTAACAAAACGAGCCACAACTGGATGATAGCGAAAATAGTGCCTGGTTGAAACGTTGACACCGGAAACATTCCGGTGCCCGCTGACAACACCGTAGACGAAAACTCAATGCACTGAGCTGGAGCAGCAATAAACTATGGATGCAAGAATGATGAAAAGAAAAGGAGGAAGGGGAATACAGATTAATTGATGAGGAACTCCAGGCATGGACAAGACATTGGTTACCTGAGGGTGGGCAGGACACTCTGTCCTGCTATTTCGGCTATGAACCAAGGTACAGCAATGACAAATTCGATTGAAGATGCCATGTGAAGACTTTGGGTCATAGCAAATAGTAAGAGCAGAGTGACACCACCGGCCACTCATTAAATAACCGAGAAGTAATCCATGCAATGAAGAGAGGGGATGACAAGAATTAAGAGGGGGAGTGTGGGTCATATGGGTGAGTGGGCAGACAATAAAGAGCAGGCACATTGGTGGATTCCTGGCTTCCACTGATGTTTTATAGTCCAGAATCCTTTTTTTTTTTCTTTTCTATCTGTCATCCCGGAGGATTCGGAGTCAATTACTTCGAACCAATACTGGTTAGCAACGTAAAATGATTCGGCACGAACATAGTACTATCTGATCGATCGAGCATGCTGTAGGCCGTCCACATACAGGAAGGATGGGAAGGCAGCACAGAACAGGCTACGGAGTGTGCGACGCTCGGCCCCTGTACAACTAAGGCAACCCATGGTTCAAAAAAAGTCGTGCACATCCTAAGACACTTATCAACGGATCAACTGTGAGGACGTCACTACAAAGCAAAACAGGTCAGCTCAGGGGCTGGCGCACTCGGCACTAATCCATTTTCTGTGAACACCTATCACGGCAATCCGATCGCACGAACATGTTCCGTGCCAGCGCAAACCTGGCCCATCACAGCGTCCGATCTCGTCGTTGCATCCATGCTGTGCAGGCAAGACTCAACATGATTCCACCTGCAAGCAACCAAACGTTCGACCGTCTCGTGTCACGTAGTATTGCCGGTAACCGTCTCTCTCGGCTGGGAGCTCACCAAAAATGCGTCTGTATGGAAAGGGGCCCGAAGGGGCTCGAATGATGATCGGAATTATGCTATGTACGACTTACACCGTGGTTTTACGCCCGCCGTATTCCCTCCTCAAATTAGTGATTGCTGTACCTCGTTGGACACACATTCTTCGGTATGGACACAACGCCATCATGCCTGTCACTCGGAAGAATTCGCGAAATATAGTGGTCGCTGATGCAGCACTAACCAGGGTGGTCAACTTCGTGGCTGCAGTTATCAGCAGCCAAAAAAAATATTACTGGTGGAGAATACATATCCGCTCCGCTTCCTGATGAACGACACTGATGTGTAACATCCAAAGGCAACTTAGCGATGGTGCACTCAATCACACTGGAGATGATTGTGGCTGATCGAGGACAGGACGAGGATATCCACACAATTCTCGAAAGGCTGTCGGGACAACTCACCGGCTAGCGAAGAGGAGGGCCGGGGTTGACTGAATTAGGAGCGAGAATATTCAGTCAAAAGGGACCCCTCCTATAGAAATTACAGCATTTTCGGGAGACAAGCATGAAGGCAACCATGCGTGATGCTGCTCGCAATATACTAAGCGGTAAGTACGACGTTTGGTGGCAAGGAAGACGACAAGCATGATCAAATCGTGTCGGAGTCATGCCCCAGGATTCTAGGCACATCACAAAGAAACAGTATCACATGTTACCCGCGAGTCACACACGAAAACATCCATCTTCATGTGAGTGCTGTAAGTAATATTTCACAGATCTTTCGAGTGGATCTCCAAACGGTTCCATCCCTCTCCTGCTATATCGCTCACTCGCGCATCACGCCATATGATCGACGCACCCGATTTCGTGCTTTCGATCATGGCGTTGTTTGGTAACTTCGCTCCAATTTCCCTTCCCTGGAAACAGGACGGGATGCAAGCTTCCAAAACCGCGCGGCAGCTGTTCAACTGGCTCACCAGTTTACCAACGTCGCTTGGTTTTAGGAACAACGGAAGAATTTATTGCGACACGATAAGAATTCCCAAAAATGACAAACGAGGTCATCTTCAAGCAGGGAAACGGCGTCGTAGGCCGAATGACACAGTTTCAGGGGTCTTTCATTTCGTCGCGCGATAGGAGGTGCTTAGGCCTAGTGAGGGCAAGTTGAGATTCAAGCCACCCCAGTGACTTATACTTGGTTGCAATGTCCGTTTGGCTGATCAGGCTAGTATCTTCCCTGCCTTCCCTTTCCCAATATCGTGGAGCGGTTTAGCTTCATAGCCATCCTACCATATATGTATGTACCGGATGGTAAGGGCTAAGGTTTACCATGTAACATCGGCGCTAGCTCACAACGCTTAGATTGCCTACCAAGAATAACCATGGTACTCAGGTATTATAGTAGGGAGCTATCTATGAACGCTTGATATGGGTCCTCGGGTTCTCGTCCTACCCCTCTTCACCCTGTATCCACTCATTTATGCAATTTTCTCCGTTCATGATGTGTCCCAAGGAAACGGAACCATCCATATGCTGACAACGTTTGTGGTACATATACAAGCGGTTATGGGATACACCAGCCCAGATTGGTACACGCTCGAGTTAATGGGTGCATCCATCTTCCAACCGGTTTGGTTCGGCATTGGGTCATCCAATCTCACTGGTCATCCGTAGTAACGGGTTGACACGGAGGAGAGTCGTGGTTGTTTGAGGTGACCACATAACTGCCTGTTTATGACTAACGGAATCCTCTATCAAAATCACTGCAGAATACAGCACCAAATTCAGTGACCTTGATTCATGCGGTAAGGCATATCATTTTATCGCACATCGGTCACCTGCGCCCACCATCCGTATACCTCATTGCAACAGCAAGATTCCCCCGGGCCACCACCGACCGAGGTCAATCCACTAGGCGATTTTTGACGATTGGAGCTCACCACACAAGAATAAGCCGTTGATTTCCACTGATCGCAGCAGGAAAGCCCAGATTCACCCCTCGGTCCTATTGGGCTATCAGGACAAATTTTCCTCCGCTTGTACTAATTCTCAACTAATAACGCTCGTGGCTCCCGATGGCGGGCGTGTTTCAGAGCCCATTGGCGTAAACCCTATCCTCTCTACTGACGCATACTATGGCCTGCTTCGTGTCGTGTTTCCCGGCATCACGAACTCAGTGGTTCTGTCGTGTTGCGGACGCACACCTCTCTTTTCGTTCTGACGCGGGGCGCAGGTTGGTCATAGGGTAACTGGCCGAGCCTGTCTTCTATATTTTCTCCGAAGGTTATCGCTATATATGTCTCACGTATACAATCTCGGACTAGCTTCTTCGTGACAGGCTTCTCGTCCCGGAAAAAGCGTACTTGCTGTGAATGCGATACTTAAACGCGTCTACAATTACCTCATTCCGCGGGCGCTGTTTCTCCACAGCACTCCGACAGGCATGTATTACTGTGATATGGTTCACCGAAAGCGAGTGCCAATAGAAGAAGTTCACAGGTTCCACATCCCTCCAACCATACTATGTTCCTGCCGCTATCAAATATTTAGCTCCACAAGATCCCCTTTCCAAGACCGCCGCAGCGCGTTCCGATTGATCAATGTACAATGCATCGCATGTTTTTACACGGATGTCATAAGATCCGGGATATATCGAAGGTGCCTGCCAACTACACACGTTCGAAATCATGCTATTCCGCCATCATCTCGCAGGTAGCGGTTTCGGACTACTCCATCTTCAGCTTTTTCTGATTTCCCCCCAGATCTAACCTTCCCTGACTCTCCCTCAGTTGGAGTTTCACCTTGCTCTTGTATGGAATCGTCTACGCGTTCCCCATCAACAACCTACTTCCCAGCTGCCCACCCCCCAGCATAACCGAACCAATGCTTCCTTGGACAGTGTGGCCCCCGCAAAAAAAGCACCGCAAGTTGGAATCCTTGCCAAGCCTGCAAAAGCACCGCACATGCACGCCAGCCATGCTGTAGGAATACTATCGTACCAACCGACGTGCCCATAACTTGGCCAATGAAGAGCTACACGGTAGTTAATCCACGCTTAGAGCTGGAAAAACCGATGACGCACGGATAGAATCAGTATGGCATTCAGGCGCGCCAGCGCTGTCGCTGATATACTTTCGCTCCGTCAGGTCTTTCGCCAACAACTCAAAGAAACTAGTCTCACGAAAAGACGGCCGTTGACAGCGATACCTGTTGCATTTGGCGAGCGGCGTCTAGGCCGAAACACGCAATAATAACCGCAGAGACGTTTATTCCGCCGGCCGCCGTCTGCACAGCTTGGGATATCGACAGAACTAGAGTCGCAATGAGCGTAGCATACCAAGGAACGAGCTTGTCGATAAGGCGGCCAGCGAACGGTCCAACCAGCACACCAAACATCCCGACGAGTCCGAACAGGCCGATAACAAGTCTATCGATTTGTAAGCTTAGGCTCTGTGATGTAAAGCGGCGTTGCTTGACTTACGTCGAATAATAGTACGGCGGGCCACCTAGCAGAAATGTAAGGGTGACCCAAAACGCGCTGAAGCAAGCACTCGATGCGATATTGATCAAAGCTGCCTGTGCGACGAGCGGCTCGGTAACCGCATATCTTGCCATGGATCCAAGAATTTGGAAGTAGTTTAAATCTGTGTTTTTAGCTGGGTAATCTGGTAGCATGAAGTATGCCCCGACAAGAACCAGGGCCTGGACGCCGATTGCCATATAATAAATTATGCACCAAGAAGCAAAGTTGGCGATGACGCCGGCCAGTACTCTCGCTGCTAAGACACCAAACATCAAGCCTGAAAGTACGACAGAGAGTGCTGTTCCCCTTCGGTCAGGTGGGGCCAGGTCAGCAGCCAGAGGCATGAGAATCTGTGGGGTAACTGTGACAAGCCCTGTCAAAAAGCATAACGCCTCGAAAAGTCGTAAATCGGTCGTAACCGAGAGTCCAACGGTGAAAGATGTCGAAAGCAGTACAAGAAGGAGTATGAGCGGTCGTCTTCGGACCAGATCTCCGAGCGGTGTGATCAACAACAGACCAGAAGCATAGCTAGTTTTGCCGCGATGAGCCATCAAATTTCGAATATGGTAAGTATTCCATCAAGCCCCTCTTACCCAGCTTGTACCAATGTTGGTATTCTGATACGGATTCTCCGTTATTAAAGCTGTGGCACAGAAGCTGACCCCTGTGCTTACTGTGAAACCTGCTCGTAAGTTACGTTAAATGATTTTGAGAATTCAACTGGAAACACGAGTTAGCCTCGATGCATAGAATGCGATGGAAAGCACATGCTCAGCAGGGGCTGACAATAGTAAAGGTTTGCAACGGCTGGATACACAAATGATTAATGACCCGTCAAACACGACTTTCATGTAGAATTATAATCTGACTCACTGAATGTGCTGGCGAACCCAAAAGCTGCGTTCAATACAAGGCCAAAGTGGAATGGCTTGTCAGGATCGTAACGTAGTCTTCTTGGAATGGGCAAGAAACCGAAGTCAGCCGGAGTCATTGCAGGGCACTCTTTCTCCTCTCGTTGTTGGCGACCAATTGCTTATCGATCCACTCTTCCAACCGACCGTGCGTGGTGGAAACGACCAGAAATATACCCTCAGAGGAAAATTCTTATCCATCTGGTCCTCAGCCATGGGCACTTGGGAAATCTGATTCAGCACTCCCAGCCCTCCTAGCGATGGGCAAAATGTTCCTTGTTTAGGCATTTTACGTCCTCAGTTACGGAGTTTACAACTCACTCGCACACTGCGAGGCCGCTGTGAGGATGGTTGGAAGAAGCACTTGCATAACACCAGCAGGGTGACAAGCAATGTGCTCGTTTCTTCGCACATCTGCACGTTACAGTAAATAGACCACTTATCAATCTGCTGGTGGCGGACGCCGGAAACACCACCTTGTACAACATTATTCTGACATGTGAATGCATATCATTCCCTCTGAGACTCGACCTTGCTCAATGCAAGCCTTCCAGCGTCGCGGAATGCCTCCAAGGCCTTCCAAGCTGCTCCCGACGTCATACTCTCCAAGGCAAGCCTAACACCGTGCTTGTAATCCTTTGCCAGACCGGCAACCACCAGAAGCGCCGACGCGTTCAGCATCACAAAGTGCAAAATGGGTGTCAAATGCTCTGGTATGTCCTCGCCGGACCTCAACAGTGCTTTGAGTGTCTCTGCGTTCTCAGCGGCTGTCCCCCCTGCCACTGTTGTGAGAGGGTGCACAGGTAACCCGAACTGCTCGGGGTGCAGCTTCCCCTCGGTAATCTGCCCGTCCCTGAGCTCCCACGCCCATGAGTCACCTGCACAGCTGATCTCGTCGAGATTCTCTGCACCACACACAACAAGCGCACGCTTGACACCGCCATCAAGTAAGGATTTGGCAAACGGAAGGCCGAGTTCGCGTTCAGCCACACCGAGAACCATGCCTTTGGGCCGTGCAGGATTGATGAGTGGACCTAGGACATTAAAGAGCGTGCGGAAAGGAAGAGCCCTTCGGTAGGGCGCAAGCGTTGCAAGTGATGGATGATAATGAGGTGCTAGAATGAATGTAAAAGGGGCCCGTGAGATTGGGACGACGGTCCCGGGTGTAGGGGGTACGAATAGACAATCTAGGCGTTCCAAGAGATCTGCTGACCCCGATGACGAAGTCGAAGCTCTGTTGCCGTGCTAGGTGGTAATGTTAGACGTTTGCTGTATGTCGTTGCTGTTTTCACCAAGGTGAAAGGGATGGACGGCTTACTTACTTTGACAACACGAGCGCCTGCGCCTGCGGCAACGATCGCTGCGGTTGTGCTAACGTTGAACGTGTTGTGTCCGTCTCCACCAGTGCCTACGATATCGACTACGAAATCTTTATCCCCGTCTTCGAGAGCGGTTTCGACTGCGTAGGAGCGCAAGGCGTCAGCAGCGGCAGCGAGATTCTCTGGCTTTCTTTCCACCCGTGCATTGCGTAACGCAAGTAAGAAGGCGCCGATCTGCGCGGGTAGAACGGCATCGGGAGTGAAAAGATGGTTCAAAGCAACTTTGAGGTCACTAGCGGTGAACAATTCAGGCGTCTTGATAAGCTTTCCGAGCAAGACTTTGAACGTGTCAGGTGTGGGCGTGGACATCCCAGTAACTGCCTGCTCAGCACAGGCTCGGTATGATGGAAGTCTACTGTCGAGTCAGGGATTCGTCTCCCGCTGCCCTTATGTAGACGGTTCAGCCTGCTGGTCAACTGATAATCCGGTTGGCGATATACATTACCGAGAGGTCTGCACTGGATTAGACAAAGGATATCAGAAGCAAAAAAATTCGGAAGCAACACAGAAAATGTTCCCCTTCCAGATCAAACTTCTACCATGTAATCAGAGTTTCAGATCCTATCACAATCATATACACCGCATGTTTTTACGCGATTTCGATTATCCTTGTGTGATTCGGGACGTCGTGTGTTCCACTGCAAATCATACACCAAGCCTCAAGCTCAAGGAACCACGATTGTGGAATATGTGCATGGCAAGAACGTAGTGAACTTCATGGCAAGTTAGACGCTGAAATTTGAAAGTCTGCAACAGGGGAATCGAGGGGTGGAATTCCACGAAGCAGAGATACAACTTGAAATTCAAGTAGCCGGTGTGTGTACCGACGTGGCAGGCCACTAGTGGGAGTTGTATGTGTATGTATCTAGTTCACCAGTACATGAGTCGGTCGCTTCTACCCTGGTATTCAATGGAGTTTGTCAAACCCGACAATTGCCCAGGTTAAATATGAGGATGTCTTGAGCACCAATCTTGACGAGCTCATCCATCACTCTTGCACAGTCCTTCTTCAGCACCATCGAGCTTACGTCGACCCAACCTTCCTGTTCCAGCGGACTGATGGTCGGCGCTCTTCTGCCCGGCGTGATTTGTACGGCTAGAGGCAGGGCATCTCTGGAGATGTTAAACGAGCACACCACGTATTTTTCGGCAGCAACTACGCCCGCTATACGGCTTGCAACCAAGTCGATGCGGGGAGTAAGATCGGCTCGGGAAGGTGTGTTTGATTTGATTAGGACAGCCTCGGTTTCGAGCACGGTAGAGATGGCGCGCAGACCTGCTGCATGCATCGTTTCACCTGATTCTGCGAGGCGGTCAACTGGACGAGACGTGCTTCAAGCTCGCTAGGGACATACCTACTAGGTCCACTGGTTTCGGGTATCGCGATAAGCTCTACGGGTTGCATGAGATGTTGCTTACTACATACCTATGCCATCTGCCAGACCCAGCGCACAGGCAACTTCAACGCTTCCTCCTACATACTGAATCTTCGTCCTCTGATCACCGGTCAACTGCAGCTGATTGTCCAGTTTACTAAAGTATTCGCCGGAGAGGACTTCGAAACTTGTCACAATACGTTTTCCTGCAAGTTGCTCCACAGACTGGATCGGGCCGTGTTCGGGAACTTGGACTTGAAGTAAGCATTTACCGAACCCAAGCCTTTGGACCTCGGTGACTTTGTTTTGCATGCCTGCCTCTAGCACGACATCATGACCTGTGATACCAATATCAACGTTTCCATTCCCGACAAACGAGGGTATATCTGCTGCTGGAAGGAAAATGCTGGGATGATGATCAGACGGTCCTGTTTTGGTATGCACAGCGTGTCGGAGTGCTCACAGGGCGATGGGAAGGTTCATTACAAGACACACATCGAGGCGGTGAGATTTCCGGAACTGAATATCGGCCCCTACATGATCAAGTCACTAGGATTTTTGCCGCAGAACTGGGGGATGTGTGTGCACGTACCAGAGAGCAGCTGCAAACATTTTTCATGAAGCCGGCCTGATTGGATGGTCAAGATCAGGAAACTACCAGAGTTGGATACCGTGATGCGCACCTTTCTTCGGGATCGCGAACAGTAGGCGACCGTCTAGTGTGTCTATGTCTGTGAAATAGGCTATATGAGTGGAAGACTGGATTATGCAGCACACATACTCATTGTAGTCGAGATCAGAGTGCTGACTTGACTCAGATCGAAATGGTTTATTTTATCCAATCAAGCGATAAGATAAGTGGATTTCTTATCTTATCTCATCGCATGATGCTTCGGACAAACTATTTTCTACACTTCCTGCATTTCAGCTAGGTTAACGAGACTGCGAACAGACGCGGTCTCGAATCCGCTGGCACTCACGAGTAGAATGAGTAGAGCTCGAAGCTTGAAAGCTCAAACACTTCTGCGTCCTTGAAGTTTGAAACACGGTTTTACTGGCAGCCATGTGCAGGCACTCCCATTTATTCCGAGATGATATTATTACATCCTTTACTTCCATCTTATGCTGAGCCCGGTCCGTTATACGAGATCGTATGATGCAGTCCGGGATCCGTGATCAGGGGCTTCGATTCAAACTCCGCCCACGCATGAGCTTGTTCTCGATTACGCGGCCCATTGACAATCCACATACACACAATGTCGTCGTTCAATCCGTACACTCAGAATGGCGGTACAATCCTTGCCATCGCTGGCGCAGATTTTAGCGTTGTAGCGGGTGACACGCGCCAGAGCGAGGGTTACAATATCCAGACGCGGTATGCGCCCAAGGTGTTTCGATTGTAAGTATCCCTCTTTCATGGAGGGGCAGTTGTTGAGGTTTGTGATTGACCGATGCTTCTTCGCATGTGCTGTTTTCGCCGCTGTGTGGCTCAGGACGGATCGTGCAGTATTGGCTGTGAATGGGTTTGCAGCGGACGGAAACATGTTCGTCAAGAAAGTAAAGCAGCGTCTCGAGGTGTGTCTTGTCTTCCGTGGCGATCTGGCCCCTTCTGGCTCACGCTTGGCTGGTGCGGTTAGTGGTACCGACACGCTCATGCAAAGGATATGCCTCTTCGATCGATTGCGCGGTTGATCCAAACGATGTTGTATTCTCGCAGGTTTTTCCCATACTACGTGTATAACATTTTGGGAGGTATCGAGGAGGATGGTACGTCGACGTTGACAGTCTTCAATTCTGTCCGTATGTTTAGAGACTCCGTAAATTGTGTAGGCTCGGGCGCAGTGTACTCTTTCGATCCTGTAGGTTCCTACGAGCGCGAGACTTGCCGCGCGGCAGGATCAGCCCAGTCCCTCCTACAACCCTTCCTGGATAACCAGGTACGTCTGATTCTCATCATGCAATCATTTTGTGGTTCACATGTCTGTGTGGTATAGATCTACTTCAAGAACCAACAGCCTGCACCGGGAATGTCGCATCCAACACACTTGCCACTACAGGCAGTACTCGCGCTTGTCATTGATTCGTTCACGAGTGCGACGGAGAGGCACATCGAGGTCGGAGACGGGCTGGAAATGTATATCATTCTTGGGAAAGGACGGGGTCTGCAGGGGCTGGAGGGTGTGAAGGGTGTGCAGGAGTTGACGACATCAGAGGACGGCGAGCGCATATTCGTTGTTCGCAGAGAGCTTAAGAAGGATTAGTCGTTTAGACTGTAAATGGAAAGCGTGTTGCTTCACTGCATGAAGACTCCACAAAAGAGAGTCCAAACAGAACCAAACAATTCTCCTTCACTCCCTTGCCTCCCCGCTTCACAACCGCAGCGCAGTCGTCGGTGTCGTAGCGAGTTCAGTCCTTTCAAGACCAGACGGCGTCCGCCAGAACGACAAAGTCAATACAATACAAACGAGACTCCGCTCATTCCTCGATTCGCATTCAACATGATGATGCCCGTACTTCTTTCTCTCCCGCTCCTCGTCTTTTTGCCTCTTCCTGTGCTCGCTCAGGATATCCAATACACCTTGCAACATAATGTGACGACCATCTACGGAACATGGTCATCCGGTAGTCAGAATGTCGTCACTGGCGCTGTCAGTTGTTTCTGTTGTCTGTGTGGGTGGTCCTCATGCTGTGACTTATGAACAGGGATTCGCGCAACCGGCCAACATGTCCTTCATCTATCCCAAAACGACAGGAATGTCGTATTCCTTGTGAGCGGGATTCGCAACCTCTTTTGGTCGAGGTTTTGCTAAGTGCGCCTGTGTAGCACCAGCGACGGTTACTACGAAATTGCGCGTTACCGGATGAATGGAAATGGTCAGTTTTCTTTCTTCCCCTAAAATATGTTCCTCAGGAGCACTGAAATGTGCACTTTGTATTCGTGCAGGCACATCCCCAAACTGTATCACTGGCGTAATGAACTGGTGTCACGGGACCTACGAGCTCGTTTCTAATGGGTCGATCACCATGACCCCATTCGGGGATGGATATCAACAAATTCAAGATCCCTGTGCAGCGATCTCCAACTTCATGGAAACCTACAACGATACGGAGTTATATGTCCAGTGGTCGATTTATCAAGATCCGACGTTGGGGTATATGTTACAGCTTTATCAGTTCGATGGGTCACCACTTCCACCTATGGCCCAACTATCAACTTCGCCGAATATGTTACCGACGCAGGCGTTGAGGAACGTGTCGGCTGCTAGTACGGCGACAAAGAAGAGAAGTTTGGAACAAGGGGAAATACTAGTCGAGAGATCGAATTCCGGTGAGCCGCGGAGATTAGGTGGTGGTGGAAGTGGCGTATGGCTGAGTGGGTTGGTGGTGTTCGTGTGGAGCATCGGTCTTGGGTCAGCGTTCATGTGATTTACGGTATGGGCTGGCAAACGGAGGTCTGTTGATATTGAAGCTCCGGTGCTTGGTGTGGGCTTGCTTGCCCTCGACCCTCTTCAGTAAAGCTTCCATCGACACGTAGGGCATTTCCTCCCCCCTTCTTTTTTTCCCCTTTATTCTCTGTAACCGGGACGGATTCGCGCGGACATATACCTACCAGCCTGTGGAAGTGCAGCATACGTTCGTTGCTTGGTCGCGTTCCTTACATTAATACCATATCGTAAAGGCGGACACCATCAGAGTGATTCAGGAAGAGATATTACAATGTTACTGCTAAGGCCTATCCCGAGGGTTGCAGATGAAGTAGGATATTTCCGATCTCTAGGTCAACTTGTGGTGCGTTCTGCTCGGGGGTTCTGGATCTGTTCTGCCACCGTTTAGGTAAGTTGTGAGAGTCGGTGGAAATGGTCGATGTCGACCGGGGCGATGGCGGGGGACACGCCGGGTTCGATATTTGTGAGACCGGTGGTTCCGAGCACGGCGATTCACGCGGCAGCGTGTTGAGTTGGATAACTCCAAAATGCTAGGCTTACCGAAGACACCTGGTCACTTGACGAGTAGCTTCACCTTTGTCACTGCGAGTGGAAATATGTATGTCAGCTTCCATGCTGGTCGGTAATATGCAGGGTTGGGTGCATTGGTCCTGGCGTTGGAAAATACCGGAGCACAGAGGGGGATACAAACAAAGGATCTCGATGAGAGAGTTATTGAGGCAAAGCACTGCTACTAGCGTGTGCGGATGAAGTAGGACGTTTCAGATTTGCTATAGTACGTTGTGCCTAGATTTGTTCCGCCGCAGTTTGCGCAGTATGGGAGAGGCGATCAGCGCTGAAGTCAAAGATGTGAAGATGTATGCTGACGAGCAGCAAATCTACCCAGGACGATGGCGGCAGGAGGAACAGGTGGGAACAGCACTTCCGAATCTAGTGCCGGCGTTGTCGAGCACGCCGTGCCGGTGTTTATTGAGCTGAAATGAAATTCGGTCGACTTCCAGTTGAAATTGAGTTTGGAGGACGTTTGGTCACCTGACGAACATTCGACTCGACAACACCCATCATCGGGTAGCAGATCGCGCCGTGGATGCATCAGGATTGCATGGCCTGGAGTCGTATGTAGCGCTGCTAGCGGAAACATGAGGATGGGGGTGACACCATTGGCAAGTTCCGTGTTGACCTGCAGGAGGTCTTTGCTGGCATCCATCAATACTGATCAAAGGGGCGGAAATATCCAATTCCGGCCCGTCGTGTTCCATTTTGGGATTAGCAAATTCCCATTCCGGTACCCCGAGTGCCTAATTTCCCACGCTCATTGTGCTCATACCCCCTTGGCCCTTTTTTTCAGCCTCTCTTCTTTCCAATCATCATCATCATCACATCATCCGATATTATACAATATATACCACACCCAACACAATCGACCTCCCACTTGACAGTAATTCACAGTCCATATCTCCGTTCCTTGTCATGAGCTTCCCTACTCACATCCTCGACGCCCATCCAGGATACCACATCACGGAACAGCCCCTCACAGGCTACCACCACAACGACCCTTACCACCCGGAACGATGGACAACACTCCCTGATGTATCCAGACACCAGGGTGACCCGTACGACATCCCTGTTGACGATTCTCCTCCCTCGGATCTTGCCTTCCACACACAAGGTGATCCAGGGCCACCCCGTTCCACCCACCACCTCCCACTCGCGACATCCACCGATTCGCTCTCACCAGCGGCTCTCTTCCTTTCTGCGTTCAGTCCACCCACCTCTCATACCCGCCTACCAGATGACGAAGGCGAGTCTGTCGCAGGTTACGTACTCGGCCCCGTAATTGGTTATGGAAGCTTCTCCACCATCAGGCGTGCTTCTTCCCCTTCCGGTGGCATCGTCGCCATCAAAATCGTAAAGCACTCAGAGTTACAACGTCAGAACAATCCTGACTTGGCTCGTAAACGCCTAAACCACGAGACCAGAGTGTGGTCTTCCCTCAGCCACGAACATATCCTGCCTCTCTTCACCTTCGAACACACTGCTTATGCAGATTTCTTCGTCACTTTGTTTTGTCCCGCCGGCTCCTTGTTTGATATACTCAAACGACAGGGAACCCCTGGCTTACCTCACGACGATGTGGGAATGATGTTCCGCCAGGTCGTCAGAGGAGTACGCTACCTACACCAAGTAGCAGACTACGTGCATTGCGATATCAAACTCGAAAACGTCCTCGTGGACGAAATGGGCGTGTGCCGTATCGGCGATTTCGGATTGGCAAGGAAGATTGGCGAACCGGACGAAGATGACGCTTTTGACCCTACTGCGGTGCACCGTCACCGATCGACTATATCTCACTCCAGGCGAAAAGTAAAGGATTTGCTTCCTTCCCATGCAACTATCGTTCGTCACCATGCACGCCGGCACAGAACGTCCACGCCTCTTGGCGATGGGCCGCAGGTGCCCGTCCATCCAGCCCATGCCTTCCCCGCCGGATCATTACCTTACGTTGCACCCGAATTGCTTTCTCCTACGCAAGGAAGGCATGTCCGCGCTCACCCCGCTCAAGATATGTGGGCACTAGGAGTGTTACTCTACGTTCTCCTCACGGGTCGCCTACCCTTCTCTGATCCCTTCGAGCCAAGACTGACGATGAAGATTCTGCACGGTGAGCCTCCTCGCTTCTTTTTCTGTCCCTTTTTTACCGTCATTTGTGTCCTTTCTACAGGTGCGTTCGATATGCCAGAAGGCATCGGGCGAGGTGCAGAGCGCGTATTGAGAGGATGTCTCGAACGATCCGTAACCCGTCGTTGGACCATCTCCATGGTAGACGATGCGGCGTGGGGAATTGGATGGGGAGACGAAATGGACGATGAACCGACGTCCACCGCATTATCGTTATCTTCACGTCGACGATGTGACATAGTTGAGGACTACGAGTTCGCGGATTATCGGTTGTCGAGGTCGCGGGAACATTCGCGGCTATCGCGTTCACCACGCCATCGTCAGGTCGAAGTCCAACAAGAATGTGACGACGAAGAAGCTGAAGTTCAGCGTGATGACGATCACAATCACGTTTCCCACCGCACATATGGAAGCAGATCTCGTTCTCGACGATCACTTTCCTGCGTATCGACTGCTACCAGTGCTACTTCTACCAGTTCCCTCTCCACACGAAGCGCGAGTCGGAGCGTCTCCCGTCCACCTAGATTGCAACTACTTTCTCCGGACTCCGCCCTCCACGAGCTGAGTCAATCAGTGTTCAGTAACGGGTCAACATCGTCGCCGGTGATCGGGAGGGTTCCTGGACTGGAGTTGGATAGATCGGTGAGACTGAGCCATGGTAGTGCATTGTTTGGAGAGGAAGAGAGAGGGAGGAGGATGGTGTGTAAGAACGGGAGAAAGGGTGTTTGTGGAACCCTGCCTCAGGGGTTGCTTGACACGCAGTCTGCGAATGCAGGTGAGGACGGGGATACTGTGGAGGATATTTTAGGCTTGGGCTTGGGCTTGGGGATGGCAGACGCTCCCGTGAGAGGTGTCATGTCGATGCAGTGTAGGCCCGCCATTGAGGAGTTACGTCTAATAGCTGGTGCTGGAGCACGCGGTACGGCGACAGATACAGCGAAGAGTGGCAAGAGGTCCGATAGCGCCCCGCCGAGGAGTCCTACGTCGTCTCACATCAGTGTTGGGATGGACAACCGGCCAGGTACGCGATTACCTCTGGATGAGTCGACTCTCGTGCAAGGGCCAAGCCAAGATAAGCGCGCTTCAAGGAGTGAGTTTAGGTTTTTGCGAGAGCCAAGCGTCGCCCCGATTCCTATACCTCGAAGCGGGAGTGGGAGAAGCCGAAGTGTTGGGTATGGGTATGGCCGAGGATGATCTATTTTTCCCTGGATATCCAAACGCTCCAAGCTCCTGGAGATGTTCTGGTGTCTCTGACACGTCAATATCGCTGGTTGCGATCCGGTCTGCGTATTGTCTGCTCGTGGTGTGTTATTCCCCCATGCTGTCGTGCTATTGATATATTTTCTTCGTGTTTTATTTCTTGTGTTGCTGTTCTCGTTAGTTTGGGTTTGGATCTCATATTCGGGGCTTTGGATGTATCATTAGCGGCTTCTCCGCATCTTTTCGATTCCTTACGTGCCGCAGGGAATAACCGTAAGGCATCTCCTGAGTTTATACACAATTTTTTGTTCATCCGTCTCGTTCCATTCACACTCATTCACCTACGAACGCACGCACCCACTCACCCCTCAGTTCTTTCTTCTGACAACAGTATATCTTTAGCAATCGATTCGTGCGTGTATGTACACGACTACCACAATGATTTATGCGTTTTCTGGCTGTCTTCCTGCAGGGGAATACACAATAGGTTCTGCATTTTAAGCGCTAAAACAGTGGCAAGGATCAAGCAGTGTATGTCGCTGTGTTTGTTGTATCGAGTGGGTAATAGAACTGTTCTAGAAAACCAGCGTGCTAGACATCTGCCGACGGTGAAAATCATGACTCCACTACGGAGCTTGTCATCAGCTCAATTACGAGGGTAAAACCAGAAGCCGTCTCTGGGTTTGCTATATTATTAGATCGCCCGATATCCAACTTCAGCGCTGCCGTCTAGTAGACCAAAGGAGAGGGCGGACTCAGCTCATGTTGTATACTGACTGAGCTGAACTCAGCATTACAGACGAGGCTGGCTACCGTGGCTCGCGATTTGTAGACCACGATCCAGAAGGAACTCTAGCTGTCCGGCATTGCGCAATGGGGGGTTCATCTTATTGCCAGATATGTGGGGAAAGGGACATTGGGAAAGTGGTCTTGGCGATCGATGGTACCATTAGGTTGAACTTGGGCGCGGTCATCAGGGGGATTCTATTACGCCCCCGTGCGGACGGAAGCTACCCATCGCACCATCAGCTTCTGCATTCTCTTCACTGCTCAACCCTCTACCGGACATCAAACACTTGCAACAGGATTGGGTAAATGAAGGCAAAATTTGGGGCGGCGAGGAGACTTTAGTTTCGATGCCAGCGAGTCCTGAATAATTGTCGGAAGGAGATGGAATCTTTCCTGTTTTTAAATTTTCGAGAACCGAGAGGTGGGCTCAGTCCGTGGGTTTTTCAGGACAAATACGACAGGGACGCGTTATACATAGAGAAGACGACGAATTTGAATGTGCGATAGATACGCCATCGGTTGAAGTCGCGTCGGATCATCTCGTTGGAGCGATAATGCGTGTACGCCTGCCGCGTGACCCATGACAAGTACAAAAACCCAGACTATGCCGTATTAACTTCACTGTGGCGCACGTACCAGATCGGAAAAGCTGAGATACGCCTGAGAGTAATAGTGCCGTTAGGCTTGGATTTGTGAGGATGGAGTCATTCTAGCGGTCAACCCGCAGTATTTCAGTTATGGGCACCGTAAAGTGGAAAAGGTGCTACCAGTATTGGTCAGGGTTTCCAGATAGAAACCAGCCACTGTTCTGGTTGACCCATGCCAGAAAGTATGTGTCTAGTCTATCGGGACCCTGTCTTTTTCATATGCGCCAAGATCTTGTCTACCTCCGCGACGTTCTTATCAGCCAGCCTTCGGAACTACGGCAAACTCAACACGCTGTCACCACGGCAAGCCCAACAACTGCGGACGAACCTCGTCGATTTCAACAGAATGCTTCTCGTATTTGCCTTTCTTAACGCTAGCTTGATGAGCACGCCTTATTTGAACCCGGGCATCCTCTGCTAGGCGTTGTGCATTTGAGACGAGAGCTGTCCGCGCTTCCACCGTGGGCCTCCGAAGGTTGGTCAGTGATACGTAGGGTGGCAGAAGGGAAGACCGACTTACCTGGGTATGGGAATTTTGATGGTGCGGGTGTCCTGTCTCTGAGGAACGACCCCAGGTAACTTGGCATTGTATATTGCCTGTTCGACAGCTTTCATATTCTATTGAGTCGTCAATGAAGGACAAGGGCTTCCGTGCACCGACAACCATCGACGCACATTTTCGTCGAATACCGTCACAATTAACATTGAACAATCCTTTACACCAACTGTGGCAATTTCTTCCAATTTGACGGGGTCGTTGCCTTTCCCATGAACCTCCACCCTTACAGGAGCAAGCAAACTAGGCGTCACGCGGCCGCTTGCTCGGTTCTCGAAGGCGGCCACCTCTTTCCGATACCATTCGACCGTGGAAGACATCTTCGTTTCTGCTTTTTGGTATTCAGAGCGCGCCTCCTCCGTGGTTAGGAGTTGCCGCGAGCCCGGGACTAGCTCGGCAGTGGATTTTATCTTGGACTTGGATGCATACTGGCGACCGAGGGCTATAGATGGCGCTGTCTGTCTTAAGCCAACTTCATATGAACTGTTGAGATAAAACAGAATAGGTGTTGAGCGATACAAGAGCTGGCGAAGAAAAGTCAAAGACATGGAGTGCAGCTGGGTGCAGAGACATCCGTGTTGTATGTAGCTACCTAAAATAGTAATGCGAGCCTAACAGGACATGCGACGTCACAATGATGTCTATAAAATCGATGCCCGTACTAGAGGGCGAAGCGTCTACTCAGTCCCATCGTATATCAGAAATATAATAGCACTGCTGGGTATCGACCTCGCAACCGTAATCCCGCATCCCGCATAGAAACCTCTTATGCCCTGAGCTTTGTACATCTCCCTGGCCGTGCCGAAGAAAGTGGGGGCCGGAACACCTTTACCACGCGGGCGCAACTCCTCCTCTGTCTGCATGATGCTCTTCACTGTGTCAGCTGGGAAGAGAGATAAGTTGTACGCTCCGCCAGCGCATGCTCCCGCAATAGCTGACTCCCAGGGAAGGATGTCTTTCCTTTCGAGCTGTACTCCATGTGATTTTGCACGACGTTGGATGAGCTGAATCCCCACGAACTCTTTGCATGCAAACCACACTGCACCCCCCCCTGTCTCTCGGATAAGCGTGCCCGTCTGGCCGAGCCAAAGCCCGCGTAAGCCGGTTTTCCGGATGACCGACACGAGGACGGATATCGGACCAGGTAAAGCATTCCTCGTCATAGATGCAACTCCTGATGTCGCGACTGTTGTATAACTCGCAGATGCCGAGAGTATGGCGGCGGGCCTATCCAGCGCTAGCATTTGAACCTGCATTTTACATTTGACGAGTTCGATAGGTGTCCTGGGCGAGCATGTAAGTCAACGCATATCGAGCTGGATTCCTTACACACAGGACAAAACTGGTGATGGCGCCTGCACCTGCGCCTGAAAGGGCAAGCTGTAAAAGGGTAGGGTCCCGGGACAAGGGATGAGGGTTCAGTCGCCGTAGCAAATTTTGAAGTTCGTTGTAGGAAAGGAACAACGTCGCGTTCTCTGCCATTGCTCCGACGACGGGAGCAGGTAGTCCCTGAGCATTGGTTGAATACAGGAAAGGCAAGGGTTAAAAAGAAACTCACGCGATAGAGCCCCCGTACGCCCTCGTTATGCCACGTTCGCACCAGACAATCTATGGGTCCGTTGAAGCGCGCCGTTGGATCCAGTACCTGGGACTGGAGCCTTACTTTGATGAGATCAAAAGGGTGCTCGAATACTTTGGAAACCATCCCTGCAATCTGGCCGGTATTATGATTGTTGCACCACTAATGAGGCATTTTAAGAGAACATACGCTACCAAACGCTATGTCCTTGATTGCGCGAAAAACATTTGAAGACGAGGGACGCGTATCATCCCACTGGGTGAAGGGTATCCTGGAGTGCTTCCATACGCAACTGAGCTATCGATGGGAGAGTGGAACGCCTGGGTTGCATTCAGGCCAAGGAACAATGTATTCCTGCGGACATGATCCTGTTGGGAAGCGTGCTTCGGAATTCGGCTTGCTTCGGCAAACAGATTGGCCGACGGTACAAACACTGGTAAACACAGCAAGGTAGATGATACAGGACATCAAAAAGAGACACAGCTAGGAGATGGAAGGAAGGTCTTCCGTGGTAGCTAGTGGAAACACAAGAACCAGTACAGTACTCCAGGCCAGTCCGATCATCATAGACATTACGACGTGCCAACTAAAGACACGTTGTGTACTGGTTTACGTTACTTACATGACAGGGTAAATGCTTGTCGACCTCAAAGGGAAAAAAACAGGGGTCCCATGCAATTCACAATAGTAAAACACCTTCACGCTATAACTCCTGATTCACTAAAACCAACAGGAGAAGACTGCCAAGGCAAAGGTGAAACACGTGGACTTCGTACTTGAGAGAACAGTTCGGTACGGGGGCTATGCATGAGGGTGGCTAGACGGAAAGCAGCCACTGTTTTGATTGACCCCATACAGTCCCTCCCTTGTTATCGAATTCCCTGTTGTTTCCTGGCCATCAGAGGTGATGGATAGACGGTGTGCAACTTTGGGCGGCGGAAGGGACGTGAACTAAATTTTTCTCAATTAGTAAATGATAGAATGGCTAGTCATGAATGGTACGGAACGTCGGTGCGTAGTTGGGTAATCGACGACGTGAATTCATGTCTGTGGGGGGAAAGCCGAACCCAAGAGGGGGGCTGCAAGTCGAGACCATACGTTGTCCTCGGATCGTTCTTGTCGCAGTGACCCGAAGACCTTTCCAAGAAGACCCGTGATGATGCGATTACCATCACTACTGGCCTCATTCCTGATATTCCTTGATATTCCATTGGCCTTGCTTTGGTTCACCTTTGTCACTGCTTTATATAAACGTTGTAAAGCTATAACCATGTATAAGGCTGGACTGGATGACTGGCGGCTGCAGACCGGGTTAGGGCTGCATCACAGGTCCACAGATGCTTTCGGCCCGCCCGGCCCGTTCGCACTTTGAACTCCGACAGCACGTACGCGTCGCCCTCGAGGGAGTCCGGGACGAGCAGGGAACGACGATGACGACGCTGACAGACTCACAGACACTCCTCGCATTCAAGGCGGGCCGCTCGTTCCGCCGTGGAAACACGTCCTTTGTCGATGCAAACCCCACCAAAGGCGCTGTCGTCCTGTCGAATGGCGACGACGGGCTCCTCCATCTCTTGTGGAAAGAAAGACCGAGCGCGACCGTGCGGGAGGACCTGATATTGTTCCCTGGAGACGCGACAATGGAAAGGGTCACCCAGGAGAGGAGTGGGAGGACGTTTGTGCTGAGGTTCGAGAGCTCAGATCAAAAACACTTTGTGGGTGTCCTTTCTTGATGTATGGTTAACAGGGGTGCTGATCGAGATACTGCACAGTTCTGGATGCAGGTAAGACCACGCGTTCCCCCTCTTTCGTCTGGTATCACTCATGGGGTTGACAATTAGAACGCATCTGATGCACGAGATGACGAACTCGTCGGAAACTTGAATAGATTCCTCGCCGATCCAACGGCTGTCCCTATCTGGAACGCTAGTGGTAGCTCGGCATCGCAGCAGGCGTCGTCCTCCTCTGACCCCGCTGGAGGTTCCTCTGCGTCCGGGTCTGGGAATGCGGGGTCGGGTTCGGCTACGTACGTTGCCTTTTCGCTCGATAGTAGCGTTGATCTTATTCCCCTTAATGCGCTGCATCACATCCCACTTTACATTCTCCCATCACTTTTCGGCCAAAAAAAAACACACAGACATCGTGCTGCCCAAGCGGCTGCACCACCTGCCGGACTCGCAACTGCCGAACAACTCTCGCGCTTACGTGCCCTTGTCACGTCCATGGGTGCATCGTCTACAACAGCTGCAAACGCGGGGCCCAACGTGCACACCAATACCCATCCGGGCGCCAGTGCATTCGATGGTGGATCTAGTTCGGCGGAAGGTACGCACTTCCCCTCGTCTCGGTTCCGACTTTGAACACCATGGAATACGTGTAGATGAGGACGAGGACGACATCTCCCTCACCGATATCCTAACCCCCAAGGTCATTCTTCCCTTGATTACATCTCACCCATCACTTCTGCCGTTGCTGTTCCAACATCTTCCACCTGAATTCATATCCCTTATGCCTCCTCCACTCCCACAGCCTGGAGACGAGGGCGACGAGCAACCCGTTGGTGACCCAATGACGTTCACCTCCCGCTCTCCTTCGACGCCCTCCACTTCGACGACCTCGTCGTCGTCGTGGGAACCAGCCACAGCCGAGGATCTCGCGAGCCTGACCGAGAAGCTCCGGCGCACGATTCATTCCAACCCATTCCGTGAGGGCGTTGCCCAACTGGATCGGGTGTTGAGGATGGGCATGGGAGCGGCGTTGGTGAGAAGTTTGGGCTTAAGGGCTGAGGCCGGGACAAGTGTTAGCGCGTTTTTGCAGGCAGTGAGTGAGCAGGGCAAGGTAGAAGCAGAGGGAGATATCATGGATCAAGATTGACCTCGTGCCAGACAAAAAGGCGGATGGTAGATGTTGAGCGATGCAATACGTCATTTATTCATACCGATTGACTCATGCAAATGGTACATGGATGCGAGAATGACTGATGCGAGTCTATGTAGGGGATATGCATACATGGCGAGCGAACGTATGAGGTATGAGATGCGGCACTGCGTACTATTAACTGTTAGGGACATTAGGCCAACTGCGTCAGTGACTCCGCTCTGTAAGCCACCGAAGCACGATATCCAGATTATGCCGGCTCTTCATCGAGCACTGTTTGGTATTGTGTTATCGTGTTAGCGGGTTCGAGGAGACAGGAGATGGAATGGGAGCGTACCGAGTAGCACTGGTGGAAATGGTTGTTAGTTGTTGGGTAGGCAGAGATATGAGAGGGGGACATACCGAGACGGGGCGGTTTTGGATTTTGTCGAGTTCGCTGCCGAGAGTTGGGTAAATGTGTTGATGACAGAAGTACAGGGATGCTCACAGTTCACGAATGAGATCCTTGACAGATGCATGGTCTGGGATGTCATTTTTGTTACCGAGCTACGTGCGGGAAGATGATGTACGGGTGGTTAATGGGAAATCAGCGCGGACGTACGACCAGAAGAGGGACGCCTGTTAGACCTGGTTGGGAGAGAAGTTGATGGAGTTCGAATCTTGCCGTGTCGAATTTATCGTGCTGCCGGGGCTAGTCGAATCGACATGGCTAGGTTGATGGCAAATGGTACATACGTCGGCAGAATCCACGATGAAGCTTTCCAAACCCGTCAGCAACGCGGACCCTGTAGATAATTGGAACGCACACAATAGCGTCCATGCCATGACAGTACCGCTCCCACATGGACCGGAATTTGGGTTGACCTGCTACATCCCATATCTTGAAAGTTACGGCGCCTTTGCGGACTTTGCGATAGTTGAACGCAACGGTTGGAACGACGTCCTCAGACCACTGTGGCGGGTCTCAGAGGGCGTGTAGACTGTGAATTGGGGGACTTGCCTGTCCTGAACCGATGACATTGACGAAGGACGTCTTCCCCGATGCCTGTGTGTGCGTGTCAAGAGCGGCGCGCTTGTGGCCTAATTGGACGTGCCTGCAACCCGACAACGGCTATCTCAGCTGCCTTGGCGAACAGAATGCTGTTTGTCGCTGGGTCATGTACTGTCCTCCTCGCCGTCAAACGAGCGCTGCCCACCTGCTCAACCACGCAACCACCGACGACCACAACCACATATTGGAGTACAGTACTAGGACGATGCCGACGGCAGGTGTGAGCGGAGTCAGCGGAGTTTAGAAATGTGTGGGTCCATCGAGGTCCACTCGGTTTGGTTGTTCGAATCCCGCCTCGGACAAATCTTTTTAGGTATTACTGGGATAGGAGCTTATTACCATATATGGTAACCACTCTCACGACTCTCAACCGAACAGCCCTCGCTAGTTTGCTTCGCTTCCTTCTATTCGACGATCCACAACCATGTCCCTTCAAAAAGACGTCTACCTTGTCATCGGTGGAAGCGGTTTCGTAGGTCGACATATCGTCGAACACCTCCTGGCGAGGGGAGACGCCGTCTCTGTGTTAGATATTGTGCAGAGACATCATGATGTCCCGTTTTATATGGGAAACATCACCGACGAACGGGACGTGCTGGATATATTGAAAAAGGTGCACATTTCGTTCTCTCCAGTTCTTTTTGCTCTCGTTTAACGTTTGAAATATCTCAGTCGGGCGCTACATGTATCATACACACCGCCTCACCACAACACGGCGCGAAAGACCCCTCCGTCTACTACAAGGTCAACGTCGAGGGCACCCGAGCTGTCATCGACGCAGCTATCGCAGCCGGTGTCCGTAAGCTCGTCTACACCAGTTCCGCAGGCGTCGTATTTGACGGCACTGACGTCGTGAATGTCGACGAACGGGTACCCTATCCGGAGAAGCCGTTCGACGCATATAATGATTCCAAAGCCCAGGGCGAGAAAGTCGTGCTGGAGGCAAATGGAAAGGGTGGGCTGTTGACCGTCGCATTACGTCCTGCGGGGATATTCGGGTCGGTATCGCTTTCGCTTTCGTCCACTGGCTTGCTAACGCACCTACGTACGTAGGCCGGGAGACCGCCAAATGATGGCCGGCTTATACCAAGCCTATCAACGCGGCCAAACCCACATCCAGATCGGCGACAACAATAACTTGTTCGATTATACCTACGTCGGGAATATCGCACAAGCCCACCTGCTCGCATCCGACAAACTCGTTCCTCCTCCCTCTTACTCCTCTACTACGCCGAGCGAACCCAAAGTAGACCCCGAGAGTGCGACGGCAAAGCTCAACGAATCTCTACACCGTGCTCTCCCTCCCATATGTGCCACGACCGAATATCACCGCACGCCACACAGCTCCGCGCGGCCACTCGGTCCCTATGTCACACCCCCTCCCAACGCTGAATCCATCCTATCCGCGTTCAACACCCCATTCGACCCACGTGAACTCAAGCATCCCATCATCCGTTCTCGGTTCGACCAGTTCGCCGAGAACGCATTGGCGGCTGCTGAGAAGGACCCCCTCAGAGTCGATGGTCAAGCGTTCTTCATCACAAATGGAGAGCCGGTTTACTTTTGGGACTTTACGAGGTATGTTTGGATGGCTCTCGATCCCCCTGCACTCGAAGGGTCGAAGAACCAACGAGCGGAGAAAAAAATATTCAAGATTCCACGCGCTTTCGGGATGGCACTAGGGTTCTTATCCGAGTGCTGGTCTTATCTCATCGGCAAGGAGCCGCTGTTCACAAGGTTCAGGGTATCCTATACTTGTGCGCAGAGGTATCACTGTATCGAGAGAGCAAGGAGAGTGCTAGGGTATGTCCCGGAGGTGGGATTGGAAGAGGGTGTCAGGAGGATGGTGGAGGTGAGTATTTCTGTGCGGCGGCCGTTCAGCGTTACTAACGAATCTTCATCAGGCATTCAAGAAAGAGAACGGCTTATCATAAACGGATATACTGCTTTGCTTCGGTGGTACTCTTTGCCATACTATATACACTTTTTTCGTCGTTTTCTTTCCCATATGTGCGAACGTTGTGTACCGCCCCAGTCGCGCGCCAACCATCTGGCGCTGACAGCGACATCGCAAATATTTGACATGACACGTACACTGTGCTTATGCGCGTGCACCTTCGCATGTAGAAGATACTAGACTGTGCTAGACCATTGCACCGTTACACTGCCTTACCCGACGCGCAACCTATCACGAGAGTGACGCTGCACGGACCATCATGTAAAGGTCACCACCGCCACCCTCACACGGACTGCGCCCTGATCTCGTATCTGGCGCGCCCGCCTAAATCTGCCGAGCCTATGGCGTGTAGCCCGCACAGGGTGTGTTCTGGTGTGTCGCGTATTGCTACGTGCCTATCATATGATGGCACAGCGCTTAGTACCTCGTACTACATCGGAACACGTTGCCTTCGACTGTAAAGTGCGGCGTTAAGTTAGGGAGGACCTAACGACATAGGGTCAAACGAATGATGCATGTTAAGGGCGTACTTACACGGACGATTGCGGTACTTACAGCGTACTTCCTGGATCGGTAGGATACCTAGTATAGTACGATCTAGTATAGTGCAGGGTAACATGACTACTCGTGCGTCGCGTTGTTTGCCCAACTGAACGTCCAGCCAACGAGGTCGCCATCCGTGCACGATGTCAGTATGTGTCAGTCGGAGGGCAAGGGTGCAAGGTACGAGTATGCACGCCCGCCCGCGCTGGGACGTCCGCGTTTTCTCGCACCGTCATGCGCATAATGACCCTCCCCTCCCCCCCTTTCCCCGCATATCCCTACTCAGCAAGCGGGCAATATATCACATCGATATATTGTGACAGATCATCACCATCGTCCGCAACCCGTCCTAGACGATCCGGAACCGGTTCTACCATCCCACTCTCCAGTTCGCCATCTGCCGCTGCGATATCTATGATCTTGTCGGCCATGGGGGACTGTATCGGGTGGTGGGAGTAGCGGTTCTGATGGTTGGCGGTTAGCGGCCGTAGGGGAATTTAGAGTGAAGTGAAGTCTTACTGTTGATACCGAGATCGGAACAGAAGCTGTTTGCGATCCCTCGACAGACTTAGGAGTGCCCTCGGTTGTATGCGTAGCACCAGTCCCGCTACTGCCCGTCATCGTATACACCCCTTGCGAACATGAATATACATCGGGGTAAGGATGGGACCACTTCAGCAGTGTGAACAATGAAGATTCAACGGCACGTTAGACAAAGAATGAGCAGGGAGGATGAGATAATACACGCACCATATCTTGATAAGTTTGCCTACTGGTGGCAGGTAAAGGGGCCCCGAACGCAGGCGTCTTGGTGGTGCCCGGAGGCTGGTAATACTCTTCTTCTTGGACACCTCTTCCATTCTCAGATTCGCGGCAGTTCAGACTGGGAAGAGTGGGAAGGGGGAGGAGCAGTCGTGGTCGTTGTAGGTGGGGCAAAGGTTAATCCATGGGAAAGGGAGATTTGGAAGGAAGCTTACAGTTGGAAAACGGAGTTGACGTAGACTGCAAAGGCAGATCAGGCAGGGGTGGGGAGCACAGCAAGTTGAGCACTGAGGCAGGTAAAGATTATGAGGAGACTCACGTTTACTTCCAATCATTTGGAACATGACCCAGTACTGATGGCTGGGAACAGCGACGAACTAGAGAAGGGGTGAGTTATGTCTATCATGGATTGAAAAACGCATGGTCTTACGGCGCAGAGGTAGGCAACCTGGACGAGCCTAAAGAAAAGCGCAAGCCAAGTGAAGGATATACCGCAGTGAAACGAAGGAACGTCACGTACGTGAAGCTTAAGCCTCTATTTACTATGAGGACGTTGACTCTGTCAATAAAGCGCTTTGGTCTAGTATGGTATGTAAGATACTCAGGCTAAGCCAGGTGGAACACCGGTAACTTACATTCGCATATATGGGTAATGTTGCGGGCGTAACCAGTAACATAGCGTCAAAAGGATCAGGACGTCGGCCAATACCGCAAAGCTGAGGTGGGTCGCTGCTATAGCCTGACCAAACGACAGGAATGAGCGAGAAACAAAATGGATCGCATTTGGAATGGTGACCTTCATCGCCGGCAATGCAAAAGAATCAAGTTGCCTTTGTTGGAACCTGTAGAGTGTCAACGTTGGGAATACCAACCATACGATAGAACTGACATTTGACCTGCAGACGCTGAGCGAGAATTCGGTCAACGCCTTCGCGTAGATCATCAAGATATACTCACTCATTCCAAAGACTGCGCAGTAACATGTATAAGCGGCAATTATCCATTTTTCAAAAGAGTGTCCTTACCGAAGGAAACGAATGAGAGCGAGACCTATGGACGGATCAACCCAGATCTGATTTGAGTGTCTAGTAACACGCACCACTGATAGGGAAACTGGATGTGATCCGCTCGAGACTATTGCGGAGTGTCAGAATTGCTTGTAAATGTGAAGGGAAAAATTACCTTCGAAGACGCGGAAAGCAAAGAAACTGCACCCAGTGAGAATGGTACAGTATCCCGAGCCAAGTACAAAACTCACAGCTGGGATACGAAGACGATAACGAACTACAAGATGCCATCAGTCAAGAATGCACCTCTGAATGGGGATGGAATGACGAACCGATAGCGCATATTGAACCTTGGGAAATTGATCATTCAGTGCTAGTAGTTGCAGATATGCCTCAAATGACCTACACACATAGAACTAGAGCAAGCGTGAATGGTACGACGGCTTTTAAAGCAAACTATGCACGTACGGAGGAGCAACCAAAACGTCGACAGGGATGGCGTACAGGTCGATCAGAAAGTGATATAGTCTATCAGATGTGAGTAGGTTTCAAGGGCGACGACGACTGACATACGCTGCAGAAACTGAAGAGCCAGGGAGTCAGTTGGCGGAATCCAAGCTGCAGTGAGTAACACAGCGCGCACCCGAGGCAGATGCTATGGTATCTACGATGCTGGGACGCGTCAGAAGCTACCTGACACAAGCGAAGCTCGCGATACTCACGCAAGTAAGATGACCTGTGCGTGCGTACGGGACAATGTTACTTCAGTCAGATTGAATAAAAGGCATAGACACGCACGAAACACCGTATTCGATTACTGTCCTGGGGGAAGCGTGCGTAGTACGCATAGGTCTCTAAGATGCGAATGGCGTCAGGGGGGACTGACTCAAAGGGCAATGAAGACTCACGGAAAATGGTTCCCCCATAAAGAAGTGATGAAGTGACGAACCCCGCGAAGAGAATACCCAAGTTCTCGGCTTCTCTGGAGGATGAGAAATTCAGATTTGGAGTCGGAGTTGGGGTGGAGGCCATTGTCAGCTATACGGGTGACTATGAAAATGGAGAATGGAGGGAGCAGGACATGGGAGGGAAGGGATTGAGGTGACAGCTGTCGCTGGTGTAGAGCCTAGTTTATAAGTATCTACGCATGTCCATGCCGCAGCCCAGTACATACCTGCTAAGTTCAATAGTACTTATTTCAGCCAACCGTTCAGGTCGATGTTTGTTCCCGGCCTTGTCGTCCCTGGACAAAGTTACATACATGCTTGTAAACCCGCGAATAGAAATTACGACACCTTCATTCCCACAACTCGATTCGGGACTATTATTCGCTGGAGATAGTATGATAGGTGTGTAACTGATTGAGCTGCCCAGGAAGAAAGTGGTTAGACACGATTAGTACGGTTGGGCGTCGTACCAGCCAAGGCTATTGAAGTTTGGCACCCCTTCCCCTGTCCCAAGGTTGTGGGGTGCTTCGATGGCCCTTCGCCATTTAAATACTAGTTACCATATGGATCAGGAGTATCTAGGTCCGAGCCGACAACTTGAACGACAAGGCCTAGCTGGGTCAAAACTGGATTACACTGAGTCGTTACAGCAGTGGGTTGCTTGTGACACTTTTTTCGATTGAACCTTCGCCAAGCGTCCATGAAGCATCTAGGTAGCTTCTTTCAAGCCATTGTGTAATGACGGTGACAGACTGGTTTGCAAGGGAGCATGAGCCATATCGTCGTCCCCGATGAACCGACGACTTACCCATTGGGAGCTAATCACGATTCTCTCATGTTGACGTATGATCTAGGTATGAATCAGCAAGGTTTCTTGGCCAGGCGTAGTTTAACTTCGTCACTCTTAGACCCAGGTTCAGCAACCACCGAAGGTTTATTGACATGCCAGTGTGGTTACTCCAGGCATGCAACATATCCGTAACTACGAAACATACCCACACCTGAGAGTTAGTGGCGTTTAGACCTGACATGAATTCAATTCGCCAAGCGAGGATCCACTCGCAGAGGGTAAGTGTCATCTGCAAAACGGTCGAATTACAGCATACACATAGGACAGTTTTTGAATTGTTCAAGGGCTCGGCAAGTACTGTTACTCAACTCGGCAAATGCTAAGCGCTCGTCGAGTGCTCGTCGAGCACTAAACGTTTTATAGATAGTGTCCGGTCAACTGACTTCCCCACTAGTAAGCTCGGAACCAGGAAGGTGGCGCTTCTGGCAGGTTTGCCCCAGAGGTAAGTACTTACATACTTTGTTCGTCTGTCAACTCATACTGCCATACGGTGCCTTACAGGTATTGCATAGCTACCAGCGGCGATACGGGGTCGTTGGTGTCATTATTTTAAGATGGCAAGTACATATGTACATCAGCAATAGGGTCTTCAAGGCAAAGTTGGAGTCTCTGTTGAATATAGTGTGTCATGGAATGCTCACTGCCCTTGCAAGATGTGCCCCAACACCATTTAATGGCGACGCAGATTGAACAACTTTATCGTGTTTCATGGTACCCAGTCATGTTCGGTGAACTGGAACGACTTGCCAGGGATGCCTTGAGTTATCTCCGGGGTTCTTTCAGTCTGTCACTGCCTCGAAGGATTTTGCAACGAGAAATCCATTTCTTTACGATGTGCGTTCTACAGAAGGTAATACACGGTCTCAATTCGACGGATATCGATGCCTCCCTTCTACATATTTTCAGTTGTGAAATGGCCAGATATCATTTGCACACCCAATTCTTGTTCGAAAGGCTGTCGCCTTGCCCGAGTCGCCCACTTCATACCTGTCAGGGCTTGAACTTGCACAGAAGATGAATCAACCGATGACAATCCTGACGCGCAAAATATGATACATGAGACTTGCACAAGACACTATACACGACACTCGCATTGGTAATAATGGAGGTGAAATAGCAGTCATGGACAACGATGCCAAAGCATAGGGAAGACATTCGATAGTAAAACGAGACAGCCAAAGACAACAGAAAGGAGTATATAAAAACCGTGTGAGGTGACTAGGAGTCGAGGCGGGTAGGGAGTCGCTGAGAGGCAGACAACTGGACATCTTGGAGAACAAAGTCGTGCGCATCACGGATATTGATAGCTTCTAAGGAGTGTTCATCCATCCGTTCGTAAGGATGCACGCCTGGGGTGGGTTTCCGGAGACGAATGCAAATTACCTCTGCATCGTCAAGGTTCACGGCGTACTTGCTACCATTCCAGACGCCGGGTCCACGTGCGCAGGCCAAAAGTGCATCAAGTACACCAGGTCGTCGTGACCGTACAGGTAGAGTGGCTTGGAGCCCTCTACATGTCAGAAGGAAGCCCGACCGGGGGTTGGCGGTCGGATGGGAATGTTTGATGCAGTACTCCAACAACTGGTCAGAAGGAATCCGATGGACATCACCACAGTCAGCAAAGTAGTCAGGGGAGTCGGCTAGAAAACTCGAGGTGCGTGGGGATGGGGCACGGGTAAAGAAGCGCCATGCGAGAATGGATTGATCGTCCGATTTCTTTATGATTTCATGCTGAAGCTTCATAAAAGTTTCGGTCTCGCCCTGTCCATACACTATGGGCAAGTTGACACCGAAAAGACCCATCAGCGCATACACCCTGTCCTCGGGCTTGGATGATTTCCGTCCCTTGGCCCATGACATCCGCGTTGCGACACTAAAATGAGGGACGCGCTCTGGGTGCATGAGGGCATCAGTATGGATACCCGTCACGCTGGATATTACACTGGCAAGGCCAGCTTTCGTTCCAATCTCTTTCCAATCCTTAGCGAAGAAGAATACATTCCCTGGTGCCAAAAGTTCCTGAAGGGTCCACGCACGACTGAACCACTTGGAGCGTCGAAATGTGCTGCTCTCCTGCTCCGGCCTTTCTCTGCTCTCGACGTCGTGTAGATAGACAAAACACACTGCTGCTTGGTTAAACCAAGCATACGATGAGTTCAATGCTTCGTCGAAGGCGGTGATGCTGTTGGCATCCGCACAGCAGGTGTCGATCCAGACGTAGTCCAGGCCATGCTGCAGCGCCAGCGTACAACAACCTTGGACCTTATCGTAGCCTGGCTTTTGGCATACGCCCGGAGTGCCGATTTCGTGGAAACGATGCGCTTCCCCTGATTGCCATGCGTGTGAGAGTATGGCATAAGGAGGTAGATCCAAGAAGTGTTCCAGCTTCTGGGTGCGAGCGTTCAGGAGGTACATGGCCCAGGTCAAGATCGGATCAGGGCATGCGGGCAATCGTGATGACAATGATGGGCTAGCGCCGAGATGCTGCGTGCGATTTCCCTTATACTTGAAATCATTACTTCCAATCTGAGGAACATATCAAGCGCGTACACATATGTACCGGAAATTGACCACACATTTACGGACAAAGTAACACTAGTATTGCAACTGAGCGTATCTCGGATCGTGGGTAGATCGCCAGTATGTATTCTGACCAAAGCCAAGTGGCTGTTCGCCCATTTCTCCAATAGAGAAAGGTCACGAGTTCCTCGCGAGAGTGCCGTCACAATGGGTGGGATCTAAGCATCACCTCAGGCCTCAGGTTCTGTTGAGGCCACCGAACTCGGGCCAGCTGTTACCTGCACCGTGCCGGGCACATGAATCCTGAAAGTGCGTCGTAAATCGGGTAGCACAGGAAGAGATCGGGAAGGAGAACGGTCGACAGAGCCTCCGAAAAGTGATCAAAGATTCTGGGGTTCACTTACAGTGTTTCGTCCTCAAGTTCAGTGTGATCTTTAACGCGGAAATATACAATCGGGAGGGCAAACAGCATGCCTGCGGCGCTCAGTCCCCACGTCGAGATAAATATGTTCATATAACTGTTCGTTGAAATTTTAGCGTCGTGGAAAAACAGAAGACTCTGCATGACCAAGACATGTAGGATAGAAACACTCACGGCAACCCAACACCATCTGCACGCCATACGCCAGCCGCGCCGCAGGATTGGAGGCACTTGTCTACCAGAGTGCATATGTTAAGGTGTCGCTAAAGGTGAGCTGATGCACAAGATACATTCGCACGTATCAGAGTAACTTACAGAACCCGGTGAAGACGGCTAGCTTGGCTATGTCATTTGACATAGCGCCCATAAGCCAGTACGCGTATGTCTGCCACATCGAATCCAAGAATCCACAAAAGATCATGAGCCAGATGTGTGCAGGGAACGAGCTATTGTATATGTCGATCTTGTTGGGATTGTTAGCTTCGGATGCACGAGTGTATGTCCTAGATGGCGTGGCGATCAAAAATGGTGTTGTCCACGGAAGGTGGAAAGTAATACACACTTCTGGTAGAAATAGGACCATATGTTGACGACGAAGACCAAGGGAAAGACGATAACCCATCCAAGGAATGCACGAGTCCGACGCCGGAGGCGCTTCTTGTCGAGAACGCAGTGCCCAATGAAAACTGAACCAAAGATTTGAGCAGACCAATAGACGAAGTTGTTCAGACCTCGCGCACGGATGGTAAAGATGGTACCATTATAGTCATTGAATTCTGTAAAATGCGCTGTCAGCAAAACGCAAGCCCCGGACCATGGATACTGACGCCAGGTGTAGAAGTAGTTGCTAGCGAAGAACATAGGAAAGAGCAGTACAATCCAAGGGTCAGTTCTAAGCGCGACAAACAGGTTAAGGAATTCCGCCTTCCAGGATGGATGACGAGCAAGGACGACCTTCGTGCCGTCAGTCCGGGTCATCAACTCGGGATTGGTCATAAGAAGCGGAAGAAAGAATCCAGTAATAGTCAAAACCAGGAAACCAATCTGTCAGGAGCTTCGTTAGTACTTGCCAGCATATCAGCCTCATCGTGTCTTACGTAAGTACCATTGCTCACTGCTCGTCGTCACGTCAGCCAGATACTACGCGCCGCATTTGGGCGTCATGTCACGCACCGCTGTTCGCTGTGGAGTGGAAACCCCCGGCAAAAGCAACTGCAGATCCAGCAACACCGCCCAAGCTGAAAACCGCCCAGAAGATGCCGATGTATAATCCCTTCTGTGCCTCAGTGGGATATGCCATCATGAGTGAGCCCTGTGCAGTCCATAACATGGCTGCACAGACACCGAGGACGGCCCCTGACGCGATAACATATCCCGTCGCATTGGGGTGAATGTTGACAACTCTGCGAAGATCAAGACGGCGTAACCACGGGTGTTATGAACGAATAAGTTCAGACGCACAAAAAGGAAGATATATAGAGAGGATATCCCAAAGTTCCCAGCATGAGAGTGATGCGAGCTCCGAGGACGTTACTGATCGTTCTTGAACCAAAGGTCAGTCGAAGTACGTCAAAATTTTCGAAGGCGCCAAAACCTACCCTGAGAAAAAACCGAAGAAGGCGAATGTAGCGTAGAGAGCGGAACTAGCATTGGCCTGGGCCGTTGGGTTGACTTGACCACCACCACCAAGACCGGAGAGGGCGTTGTACATGCCGGGACACATGAAACAGACGAAACCCAACAGTGCGACTTGGGCGGTCGGATGAGAGTAGAATCCCTTCCATCCTGAGGGCTGCTCAAAAATCTCAACCTGCTGTGAGCCTTCATATTCGCCGGTAGGCGTTCCACCGCCGACTTTTTCAGCTTCTACAACTGAGCTGGGCATGAGTGAAGGTGGAGAGCTGCCCTGCGGTGGCGGAAGAGAGGGGGGGATGGAAAACTAACCATACACTCGGCTCTGGGTACGAAGTACTTATACAAAGAATAAGTTATCGACGCACTTGTTATGGGTGTGCGGGTAACATGTGGAGATGGGCCGCACCATGTGGGCGGATTTCCACAATCTGAGCTGCAGTGGGGGTAAGTAAAGCCATATCAAGAGAGGCTCATAATGTCCTCTACCCAATCAGTGTCTATCAGAGTCTCATGGCCGGGCATTGCATGTCGGATCTCGATCAACTCAACCTAAGTGTCATTGCATGCTGTTCCACTCCATGTGGGTCGAATTATCGGGGAACTCACCAGATACGACAGAATCCAGTGATGTTCCCTCGCAGGAGGATCCTAGCATGAACGCGACTCGCAATGTGCTACACCCAGGTCCAGCTACAATATTGGTCCCGCCGGATATCTGGCATGAGCCGTTGAACATCCTCGGAGAAATTTAACTTGGTGCGGTGTTCCGATATACTAAGAGTCAGTTTGGTTCCCTCAGCCATGAATCAATGGGAGCAACACTGAGGCAGAGTCGTCAAGGGCAGCCCATTGGAGCACAAAATCTCGGGCCGGTGTATGCCGCAAGTCAGCTCCTATTCCAGGCCTCACACCATGGCCGCGCAGGGTGGGAAGCACATCACTTGCATTATTACCTAGTATACTTGAAGCGTTTCAGGGTAACCCGTGAGCGGTCACACTTTTCGGTGGGATCTGCCTTCCCTTTTATCACGAGTTTCATGCTAAACTGAAGCCTACAACTACGTACCCGACCTGCTTGCTGTCAGCAGGTGCCTGCTAGGAAAGTCGAACCTCCTGGCGTTCTTCATCCACGCCTGACTCCTGCCACAACTTAAACCTCGCTCTGCTGCAGTGCTTGGTTCGCGATGACGACCTTCAGCGTGTGATTAGTGTCAAAATTCTTGGATAGAAGACTTTGAGAAGGCCTTGAAACACGAAAATTCCGTCGCCTTCAGGGATATAGATGCGAACACTCTCGACTTTTACCTCCGCCTTGTCCGATCGAGTGAAGATCGCGCGTTTGAACTCGGAACGTGAAATTGGACGGCAAAAGAGCCTTTGGACGTGGAACAAAAATCTGTTTTTTTCCCCCCGAAATTCATGATGCTTGTTACCGCACGCATATTCCCCGTGCGAACTAAAACCATGTACTTCCTTTTTGGTGACTCCTGGTGGTCTGGTGGATTCTATCAAAGCCCTGGAAGGATGTCAGTATGAGAACGAGGATGAGCTGGGTGTTCTCGGTGCGGATGGCGAACACCTGCCGAATATGAAATTATTGTGCCTTGGGTTGGTTCACTACTTCGTGTTAAATGCTTCTGATTGACACATAGTGCAGCACGAGAACCTCGCTGTAGTCAAACGCAAGAGTGATGATAGCGCTGGTTGCCTTAACTTCGTCGAGACTGCACGACGGCGGGAGGCGGTATGCGATCTCCCGTGAACCACAACATCTCTTGGGGGAGTTCTGGCCGGTGCAGGGCGGGACCATGATCTCTGTGCTCGTCATCGGTGGCCTGCTCGCGCCTAAAGACCACAAAACAAAAGTTCCGTGGCAGATTAAGCACGCAGGGTACCTCACACGAGAAGTCGAACGAGGCGGTGTGTGCGAGCCGATTTTAAGTCGACCTGCGGAGCTACGGGCGAACCTTGGACGTCTTGTGTTTAACCTACAAACCATCTCCTGATCGTGGCTACAAAACTGAATAGGAAAGACCCTGACCATCGCCTAACGATGAGGATAGCCCAGGAGTTGATCACTTCCAGGAAGGGGGCTTTCGGTGCAGATGCAGAGATGTATTCTTCTAGTGCTGCTCAACTTCCATGAGGCCAGTGGTAATAATCCTTGCACAGGTTGCCTCCTGATTTGGCGGTGTGCCTAATTCCGCTTGTCATCGATCATCGATCATGCCGTGTATACCTATGTGCGGCGGATGTCAATGTTCGTTTGGAGCCGTCTACCCATTCATTCACATTTCAATCACTAGGGGATGTCACCTACGATTAGAGAGTGATCTCATTAGGCACTGCTGTTTGGCGTCGGAATCTCTTTCGCACAAATGCTGCTTCCCGACTACCCCTGAGCAACCGTACGCCGTGTTTGGGGTTGTTTGATAATGTGAACATGTACATATAAGTACCCCAACGGTGGTCAACTGAGAACCGTCGTGGCGCTAACACTTCACCGTCTGCCTTATACCATTGCAACATGAAGGCGTCCATATACCTCCTCTCACTGACGGCCAGTACTCTTGGGGCGTCACTGGGGACGTTTTACGAGTCTGGAGATGGCCAGAAAGTATTACCCGGACCCTTCGACGAGGTTGTGCTTAATGGACAAACTTTCGACGCCAGTCCGGCTGCCACAAGTGGCTTTAGTTTGGACTTGGCTGAGAAACGACTTGTTCAAATGGAGGGTAAGGATCCGGTATGGATCACCGAGCTCGAGAAGGTACGGAATGTTCCACCGTAGCTCGTGATGGTCGGCTGACGTAGTCGATGGTGACGGAAGATTGAAGCGAGAGCCAATGGCATTCGGTTCTTTGACATGTAAATCGGATCTGCTTGTTTGTCTCTTCGTGTCTGACGAGTTTAGAACGGATACACCCACGCTTGGACTCCTTGCCAAGGTGCAGAGATCATGTGAGTTGCGTAGTGAACAATAGACAATTGCGGTGGTGGTGAACTGGCTCTTTTTCAGGGACATACCCTACGCCGACCGCATACACACAAGTCACGAGCGTTATAAAGACCCTGACCACCGAAGGCCCTCGCGCAATGTTGGAGAAGTTCACCAGCTTTAGGACAAGACGTAGGTCCTCTTCCTATCACGTCTAGGCGGTGTCCTTTTGTCTCGTTTTTCTGACGCCAATTTAGATTACAAGAGCGAGGTTAGTCGTTGGTCAATGATGCAGTTATCACCCTTCCCAATGGAATATTGCACGTCGTACAGGAAGGCCAGCAAAGTCAAAAGTGGCTACTGTCTCAAATCCAGAGGGTAAGTGTGTTACTGATATCTTTCAGGATGCTCACCGACGTTAATTGGGATTGAAGATCACAGCTGAAACAGCGAGCCCCGAGCTACAGGAACTCATTACCATCAATGAATTTCCCCATCCTTGGGGACAGCACACCATCGTATGTTTGCTTGTACATTTTCTGCTCCTGTTTGCTGAATGACTGGTTCAGATAGCGAGGATTAACGGATCAAATTCTGCAGAGGAGGGTATTGTTGTCATTGGTGCTCACCAGGACAGGTACTGAAGATAATGGTCATTTGATGTTTCTGCTGCTAACGTTGTCAAGCACGAATATGTGGCCATTTTTAGCTGCACCAGGTAAGTCTCCATCACGTCACAGCAAGGCTACATTTCTGAGATATTTAAGGTGCTGATGACGACGGGTCGGGTACTGTCACTATTCTTGAGTCTTATCGTGCTCTTCTGGCTGCGGGCTTCACGCCAAAGCGCACTGTTGAATTTCAATGGTATTCTGCAGAGGTAAGGGATAGTCCAACTTTTGTGAGTCCATGCTGATGTTGTCTTCAGGAGGGTGGTCTTCTTGGATCACAGGCGGTTGCGAAATCATATGAAGCTGAAGGAATTCAGGTCTATGCAATGAGTCAGGTGTGCCTTCCACCCGTAGTTATCAGTTGGTTTACTAAGTACAGTGTAGTTTGACATGACTGCATGGGTTAAAGCAGGCACGCGAGAAGAGATAGGCGTGATTACTGATTATGTTGATGATATGTACGTGCTCTTTGGTTATGTTGTGAGTTTTGGCTGATCCGGCCCTGGTAGGTTGACTGCGTTCAACAAGGACCTTATCGACGCATATCTATCTGTGCCATACGTTGAGACCAAATGTGGATATGCGTGCTCGGACCAGTAAGTGTATTTCCACTGTGGAAATCGTGTTATCTGACCTTCGCAGTGCGTCGTGGAGGAAGGCTGGATACCCGGCTATCTTCACTATAGGTATATACATTCCTTTTATGCGTGTGCATCCCGTCTGACCTGGGGCTAGAATCCTCCTTCGCGCACGCAAACCATGCCAATATCCACACCTCCCATGAGTAAGTTAGAGGATAGTTGTGATGTGTCGTTACTGACTTAGTTTGAAGTCGTATTGATATTTCTCCGGAGTTCTCCTTCGATCACATGTTGGAATTCTCCAAGTTGGCAGTTGCCTTTGCAATTGAGCTTGCTGGATGGGAGACTGCCTAAGCGCTAATTGACCATAATTGTACTATGCACGTTACTTTCTGCAAATGTCATAAGTTCACTGAAACTTTACTATCAAGTTGGTTGGTTTCCCTTGCGCATCCAAGTATGCGCACTTTAAGATACTTTGAATCGGTGGACTAAGCACTACCAGCCAAGACGTTGGCCATTAAAGACTTGCTTGCATCAGACATCGTAAGTACATAGAATACTTCTCAGGCGTGGTGTTATACTTGCGAGCAAAGAGAACAGTAAAATAACATTCAAACTCTTTCGATAACGGCCCCTCGCAACCCATTAGCCAGTATTCCTCTGAGTCACAGAAACCATCCGAAAGGCTGCCAGCTCACCGCAGCAATCCACGAAGACCACTAAGGCCGGCCAAACCATTCATTCATGAATTTCGCGTGGTGGCATCTATACAGTGATACTGCACAATACATCGGATTCAGGTGCGGCGTGGTACACGAAAATCCCGACTTGTTTCGGGTCCAGTTCGCGTGTAAAGCGCAGTGAGTTCCTCTCGGTTATGGAATTGCATCTTGATCGAAAAATGATGTTATTGTATCGACACTCGCATCGTGAGTCATCAATGCATCATATTACGATCACCCACAGTACCGTCGATGTCAGCTTCGACTCCCGCCAAAACTGTCACTGGAATTTAGATCCTCCTTGTGAAAGACTCAGTAAACGGCGAGCACCGACATGTCCGCTCAAGCAAACAGCTCTGCAGTCTCCGAAGCTACTGTAGCAACCGCTAAGAACATGCCTTATGGTGAGTTCCTCCCTACTAGTAGCTCAGGACTGCCGATGGTAACGAATTATTTAAACCCATGATGTTCACATGCAGTGAGACTTGGGAATTCAGGCCTCAAGGTTTCGAAGATCATACTCGGAACGATGCAGTATGGCTCGAAGGCATGGCAGGATTGGGTACTTGACGAGGAGGAAGCTATCGAACATATCAGAGTCGCGTGGGTGTCCTGCTATCTTCTTTATTCTTGTCCTCGTCGGGGACTACTTAGCCCGATTGAGATACGACGGTGACATCTTGTGATGCATATAGGTACGAGGCGGGCATCCAGACATTCGACACAGCCAACGTCAGTAGCAATACTGCTCGCCTTCATACTCGTCTCTAAGAAGTATGATGTTCCAGGTTTACTCCAACGGCCACTGCGAAATCGTCCTCGGCAAAGCCATCAAACATCTGAACCTCCCTCGAGAGGAGATTGTCGTTATGACCAAGGTGAGAACAAACATTCTCTACGTCTTTACTCGCTCCGACGTCCCGCGCGCAGTGCTTTTTTGTGGTCGCCAAGGAGGAAGCGACGGGGCTATTACAGCCTAGGGATAATCCTGACCAAAAAGGATACGTGAATCAGCATGGGTTGAGTCGCAAGGTAAGTATCTCACTGGCATATCATCACATATTTTTACTTAAGGTGTCATGGTCGCCCATTGATTTACAGCACATATTCGACAGCGTTAAAGCCAGCTTGCGACGTCTCCAGCTTGACTATATCGACGTCTTGCAATGTACGTGCGTCTCCTGTCTTAGTCCTTTCGGGTATATTAAGCTACGGTCCGTATGTACCGACCGACAGGTCACCGGTTCGACCCCGAGACTCCTATCGAGGAAACTGTTCGTGTATTCTCGTGTTTGAATGTACCACGTCCTGAATGGTGTGTAGATGCAAGCTCTCCACGATGTAGTCAAAGCTGGATACGCTCGTTATATCGGAATGAGTTCCTGCTACGCTTACCAATGTACGCCTCCTCTCTCTCTCATCCTGGGAAGTTGTCTCATTGTCTTGATGCATCGTCCAGTCCATGCAATGCAAAGTGAGTCTGCTATGATTAAGTTCTCGAAAAGCTGCAGGGACGCCATCGAACTGCTCACCAAAAATGATGTAGACTACGCTATTACCAACAGGCTCACGCCCTTCATCTCGATGCAAAACCACTATAATATGTTGTATCGTGAAGAAGAGCGTGAAATGTTTCCTACTCTCAAGGTGCTTTCCCTTGTCCAAGTCCAAGTCATTCTGTTTTCTTTCCTTTCCACTCACTACATGCATGGATGCATGCTCCATGGCAGATGCTGGGCGTCGGAGCCATTCCCTGGTCTCCTCTCGCACGCGGCCTCTTGACGAGACCTCTCGGAGAAGAAACCACGCGCAGCCAGACCGACTTGTATGTGATGACTGACTTCTTACTCATGGAGGCCGTCTCTCACCTGTTCTTAAAACGTAGTCGAGTCCAGTTATACAAGGCATCCCCCGCTCGCGATACGATCATCAACCGGTTCGTAGATTGTCTTGTTCCATCCTTCAGTCCAACTAACGCCCACGCTTGCTCGTTCTTACGCGCATGCGACAGTGTGGAAGAACTCGCTGAAAAGAAAGGCGTCAGCATGGCACAAATCTCTATTGCTTGGATGCTCAGCAAAGATCGTGAGTCTCGTTTCCTACATTTCCGGCACGCTAACCATTACCCAGATGTGACGGCCCCGATCGTCGGCACGACTAGCCTCGACAATTTGAAAGATATCATCGGTGTGTATTATCGCTTGGTACAGCGATCGATAGTATGATCTAATCGTCACGCGTCATCCTTCTGATTCGAATCACCAGCCGCTGTGCACCTTAAGTTGACACCGGAAGAAATACAAGATTTGGAAAAAGAGTACCGACCGTCCGCTATACTTGGGCATGCGTGAATTGAAATGGATGGGAGAAATGTTCCTCCTTGGTTCGTTTCCCACGTCGAATACTGTTTACGACCAAATCCCTGTACGAAGGTCATGCCAATATTGGCTCCGAGTCGATCGGCTTTGCTGGGGGTCTCTCGTGGATCTTCTTTATCCTTTCCTTAGAATAAGCGAGCCCGCCTCTCTTGCGTACCGCAGACTCCTAATGATAGGTGAAATCGCACCGGGACTACCAGGCATGGGTTTGTAGGAAGGGACGTAGAATATGCTGCAGTGGACGTTGTCTCGGTCCTAGTGTCGGTTGATGATCTGGTTGGCTGAGCGAGTGTCTTGTGCGATGACATCGATGCCAGTTGTCCTGCAAGCCCACCCGACAGCACGCGACACAGCAGCGAGTGAGACCCGAGTGTCCGCGGGGACAGTCCTCGTCGCAGTCCCCTGTCTCGCCCAGGTCCTCCTCGGCGCCGAGAAGGGGCGGCGGTGCGACTGCTGTCTTACACCCGAGGAGGCCGACCTCCGCCTGCGACGATGCAGTGGGTGTGGGTCGTACTGGTACTGCGACGCTCAATGTACGTCCAACACATCCTCCCAGATGGTCTGACCCACCGAGTCCGAGTCAAGGCCAGCATGCCCACTGGCCTGTCCACAAGAAATACTGCTCGAACTTTCCGCGCTACACCTCCTCGCCCGCATTCGCACAGCTCCAAACACACCAGAAACTTGACGCCGTCCTCCTCACTCACCTCCTCGCTGAATTCGCTGCAACCGACACATCGAGCGAGGAGCTCGCCACGTTTGCGTCTCTCCTCCCAGGGCCCGTCTCGGGATTGTCCTGTCCTCCAACATGTCCACTCACGACCAGTCGCAAGCCCAGTCATTCTGCGACCGAGCTGTACAGGCGATGCGGGAACAACAACTTTGCCATTCACAGTCACTTCACCACAATTGCACATGGCATATTTCCCCTTGCAAGCCGTCTTTTCAACCACTCGTGTCTCCCGAACGCGTTCCCAAAGTACACGTTTGATCGACAACACCGGGTACAGATGTCGATCGTCGCCATGCGCGATATCGAAGCAGGTGAACAAGTACGCATCTATTTTAGACGATCGATCGAGGTCCATTCCACTCACTGCCTTTAGATTTGCATATCCTACGTCGACCCTGCCCTTCTGGATACTCGTCACCAAATCTTCCAGTTCACCTACGGGTTTACGTGTACCTGTCCTTCCTGCACCGCCCTCTCCATCATCAGAAGGACATCTTCGCCTCCCCCTATCTCCGAGGCAGACATCACATCCCTCAGTACACGTCTTGTTAACCACGTCTTTCCGCGCCTCTCATCCTCCGACTTGTCCATCGCCCTCCCATCTACTCTGCCCTCTCTGGCTACTCTCCCGCCCTCGCTACACGTAGCACTGCATGAATCCTTTTTAACGAACCTCACAGACAGATTCAGCTCTGCCTCACACGAGGGACCATTCGACGTCGCGTTGGAGAGCGGTCTAGCAGTGCTCGCTTTATATGTCCTCATATACCCCCCAAATTATCCTCAAATTGGTGTGTTTATCTTCTCCTGTCTTTGAAGACGCGTTCGTGAAGTGTTACATATCCATTAGGTCTCCACCTCCTCGAGCTGTCCAAAACGGCGTGGAATGCTCATGTCACATCCCCAGATCTCGGACCGTCCACGTCCATCACTGATCCGGTACATCGCGCACGTGTATGTCTCGACTTGGCACAACAGGTCTTGCGCATTGTCGGACCGGAGGGCGATCCTGGGGGTCCGGCAAAGGAACTTGAGGTGTTGGAGGGGTTGCTGAGCGGGGATACTTAGTCAGGGGCGAGTAAGTGCAAAACGTATCCCACAAAATGCAGTACCAAAAGTTGGAGAGGAAATAGTATCCTCACGTGCATTTCTCACCAACCAAGCTGTGTGCGCAGAGCGAACTTCTCTCGATATGATACTGATAAGTGGAGTGCACTCATCCATTGTCCTCTATGTCCGCACTACCTCCACTTCGCTTCGAGCGGTGCTTTCGCGAGGTGAGTTCAACCTGAGCACTGATGCCAAGCACCCCTGTATATTCGCTTCCGAGGTCCAAAAACCCGTTTTCGACGCAGCAACCAGCGCCTCGACGGACTCTGCGGCGATTGTGATTGCATGAAATGCGTAAACGGGACAGTGGTCGGGTTCTGCTGCGTGAGGACTAGTCTCTTTCTTATCCTTCCATCCTCCTGCGAGCAACGCACTGTGCCGTTCAAGTTGCATTACAAGCCTGATGGGTGGCACAACTCCTATCCTCCAGTCTCACCCCTCCCCGCTCCTTCCCTTCAGAATACGTAAACCAAGCAATATCCCCCACGGACCACCTCGGGCAGATGCACGTACACGCACATCAACGTCAACAGTCGAAAGACCAACGGGGCACGTAACACGCGGCACGGACGGGATCGTACCCATTCGCCCCCTCACCCTGCTCGTGCTTGCACTTTTCCTCTCCACCCTCTTCACCGTCGCGATCTCATTTTCGTTCTTGGGACATGACGCCGACGAACCGTATTTCAAGAAAACTTTGGACGACGTCGCGCAGACGAACCCTGGTGTAAGTGCACGTAGTATCACCTCTTCCCGCCTCACTCCATCCTCACTAACCTGGTTGCGTCGTGTCACGTGCACGTCCCCTTAGATTGTGCTTCTCGGTGAAAACGTTGATGTTGACGTCGACGAACCCTCGATCGGGATTCGGTGGTCAATCCTCGGATGCGGGGACGGTTACGTTCTCGATGGGAGTGCTGGCGTTCATGGAAGTGATCTATGTGGGTTACCGAGCTCTTATCTCGAGATATATGTCGATAGGTAGGGTCATTGGCTTGTTGGGTTGGGTGCGATTTGATGGGCTGCCTATAGTTCAATTGAACCGACTGCGATATATGACCCTTCTCATCTCCCGTTCGTGAGTCAGACAGGGCGGCGACGCGAGTACGTGCATCGGTCTCGTTAATGGTCACGTTTGTTAACTCATCCCCGGTCTCAACCTACCGTGGAATAAATGACATATCCCCCAGTATCCAAAACCTCGTCCAGTTCGACAGCGACCACACGCTCGACGTCCACCTTGATCGGCTATACCCTTTCGATAACTACATCCTCACTAGCACCTTACGCGCCGTTTCCACCTCTAACACGACAATCCCGATCCAGAAACTCGCAACTATTGATCAAGTGTCCAGTTTTGTAATTGAGAGCGTAGGATGTGGAGACTTATGAAGTCGTGTCTTCTCCTACCAATACCACCACCACCACTTCCGGTAGCACCGACGGTGTGCAAACGACTCAAATTCCAACTCGCGACATCGATCTGTACGTCTCACGACCCGCCCAAGCCCGTGCTTTCACGCTTCTCTTATTCGCACTATCCTGGTTTCTCGCCCACGCGACGCTTCTGTGCGTCTACCTCGCGCGGAAGTGTAGTACTTATCGCACCACCCGTTCAGCGAAACCAATTCTCAAGCATCTTGGGGGCAGTTTGATGGTTTTACTCGTAATCCCACAGTTGAGGAATGCGATGCCAGACGCCCCAGGGTATGATGGGGTGTTAATAGGTATGTGTCCCTCCCTCCTTACATTTTGTTTGCTAGCTCACGGTTACCGCGATCGTATATCGCTGCGGGAATAAAGACTGTATTGGGTTCTTTCCGCAGATGATTTTGTCGAGTTTATCCGTTCTTGCTCTATTATTGTTGATGATTCTCCGGGAGCTTGAAGGTATGGAAGGCGAAGACAGACGGGACGAAAGTAGTGTTGGCATTAATGTCAGTGAGCCCCCGCCTACTCCTTACCATCACCGCGCTACGCAACCAGCGAAACAAGCACCACCACCACCACCACCTTCTCCAGCGGCTTTCGGTACCGATCCAAGCTCACATCTGAAGCCATGGACGAAAACTGAGTCGGGTCCGAATTCCACTTCGACCCCTCTCAAGCGCCTTATCCTAGCGACGAAGAGGAGAAACCAGACCCGGACGTCGTCCGTCAGTCTAGAACGTGGTCATCTTCTCCGTGACGAGAGTGATACGGAGAAAGGGGATTTCGATACAGACGCGTTTCTTACAACCTCGACGACCCCCACCCCGACGTCTTCGTCGTTTCCCACCACTATCGCCTCATCGTTTGTCATCGCATCGAGGTCCCCGTCGCCGTCTGACTCAGAGGAAATTGCGCGTCCTGAGCAACAGCAGCATCAACAGCAGCAGCAGCAGGCTCGGACGCAGTCGCGGCGGACCTCTGGCACTCGTAGCGCATTCTCGGCTTTTGGAGGACGGCCTGGTAGTGTCTACAGATATGAATTGGCGAGATCGAGTAGTTACAGATCGTCGAAGAGGAATGTGTAGATTGCTTCGTGTATCAGAGTTACTTAGTATTACTACTTACTTGTGACTTTCTACTGTAATAAAGCGGATACCCATTGACTCGGAAGTTCTTGATCGTAGGCGACATTCTCTAGTAACTGAGCTACGAATAAACACATCGACATCTGAATAGGTATGTATACAACGACGTTAAACATTCGCATCGAGTATATAAAGTAAATACGACATTGATGACTGCGTAGGTATATAATCAATGTTCGACTCACTAAGGTGCACATATGTGCCTCTCCGCCGGGGCTCCCCAGCCATCCACTCCTACATTAACGCGTAAGGTCTTCGTTCTTCAGTTCATCAACCACACTGAGGAAGAAATCGCGATGGGGATAGGGTTTTGCAGGTTGAACACATGGCCTCCAAGGTTTGTCCACAGCTCCACAGGTCGGCTTGGATTGGCTTGTACGCATCCCTACGTTCAACTTGTGGTGCGATGTATCCTGTGGTACCGGCTATGCCATGGAACATTTGCCGTTCACTCTTCAAAGGGATAGACGAGCTAAAGTCGATGATGGAGAGATGGCCACCCTCGAAAGGAATGATAATAATCTCTGGTTTGAGAGATCCATATGTGCAATGAGTTGCGCGTGCATGAATGCAACCCCTTCAACGAGTTGGGGCTGGCGATGGACCAGAGATGCTAATAATGCCCGTCGAGAGATGTGAGGTAGCCACCAGCAATGGGCATGGAGATCATAGTCCCCGCTCTGTGCTGGCCAGAACTTGGCCCCCAAAAATGGTGTCGTTCATTGGGGGGTTAAATACCGCCAAGGAATTCAAGAATTTTGACCTCGTGCTGCTGTGCTGCAGTTATGTGTCAATCAGAGGCACTGAATACGAAGAAGCGGATAAACCAGCCCAAAGATGCGATAATCAATAGTGCATTAACAGGTAGACCACTGCTTGCGGATTTTGCTTACGTCTTTTTGAAAGCAACGTAGAATGCGATAGAAAGTTATAAATTTTCGCTCGTTGCAGACCACCAACCTGCGAGTTTGATCTGAAAGAGTCTCGAATAACCTGTCAAAGAGGTCTTTGCCTTTGACGTACTCCAGAGCCACTCTGAAATCGGGTTTTGCACGCACGGCTGACTGAACAGCGTTGAGGTTTTTCTTGACTACTAGATGTTGGCAAGAGAAGAATGGTGATCCACATCATATTTCCAGGGGGAACTCAGCGAGTTTTGGATCTCCTCGATCACTGCAACATCAGTTGCACCGTTTTGTGAGTACCTTCCACATCCTAAGTTCATTCGCGCATCATTCATCGTCCATTTGAGTGCTATTTCTACGGTTATTTTCGAAGTCGAAAGATCTTCGTATGATCCCGTTCCAGTGCGTCGATGGCCTTGTTGGACTCGTCTGTGTGAAAGCAAATTACGTCGGGAGTAGATTGTGTACACAAATTGAACGTACCCTCGGGAGCATGATGGCCAGACACACGTGGCCCCAGGTAATCGTTGATCCACCAAACGACAACTCGACTGGATCGGTACCTTGATGGTTCAAGGCGTTCGATGTACTTTCCTTCCTCAGTCCCCAGTACTTGGGGATTCAATCAATGACACTCGACTTTCGAAATGGGAATACCTTGAAACACATCCCGATCCCGCTACAAGTCAGTCCGATAATAAATCCTGTCCGTGCTGTGCGCTACAACGGACACGAGCAAGATTTCGTTTCTGAAATAGACCTAGAACTCCATTCTTGCATTGGTTACATGTGACAATGGTGTGAGTTTCCGATGTTATAGTGCAGAACTGAACACGCACGATGACGATGGCAGACAACGACAACCCGTTCCACACCGGGAGTGTCGTGGAAAGTGGTAGTCAACTGTTCTAACATGCGCAATGGCCCCTTGCAAAGCGACCTCTACTTTCCCAGTTCATCTTCACAATGTGCGCCCGATGGGATGAGGAGGGGGAGGTAGAGAATCTCTGCACCTACATATATCCTTGAAGGCGACCACTTTTGGGGGATTCAGGGCTTCCATAAGCTGCCCTACGTTCACTTTCTTCGAAATCTCGATCTCGAACACAACTTCTTCACCGCGAACCCAGTAGAGGTAAGGATAGTTATGTAGAAAGAAGGTGGCAAACGCGTTCACAGGACTCAATTTCGAGTTCTTTATGTTGGTGTGCGGAGTAATAAGCTGCTTCTCGCGCTTTTCTCGGTTTCAATGAACTGATTCACAGACACCAGGAGGTGGGACGAAAAGGAAGACAATCTTAGTTATGGCTAGAAAGGAAATTGATGACTCAGCCGACTAGAGTGTCTTCCCCGCAACTTCCATCATCCCCGCTCGAGTCCAGTTTGACTCGCGTCCCAGCTGCCAACTTGGTCGAGATGCCAGTCGGAATCGAGGCTTGGCTGTGGCAAGTCCCACCGATAACGCGCGCATGGCTTGCCCTTGCTGTCGCCACCAGTCTGGCAGTGGTATGTACTCCTTTGTCCTAACTTTCTGCCGATTATTTCACACATGCGGACTGAATGATTACACCTAGCAATGCCAAGTCGTGACACCTCTCCAACTCTACTTTTCATTCAAGTCTGCATTTACTAATGCCCAGGTGAGTGTAAGCATAAGCGTCGATGCGACGCTTGTCGACTCAACCTCTCACCCACATATCTACTCGTCTGCCCATGTATACGTGGCATAATGGATATGGCTTATAGCCATGGCGCATGCTCACCACATTCTTTTACTTTGGGCCGTTCTCACTGGATTTTGTGTTCCACCTGTTCTTCTTGTAATATTCTTTCCGTCCATTCTGTTCGTTGAAGATTACCTGACAATAATGCTATCACACCAGCATGCGATATAGTCGAATGCTAGAAGAATCCTCGTTCGCAAATAAGAAGGCGGACTACTTCTGGTTACTCTTTGTTTCTTCCATCATGCTTCTTGTAAGTTCATTACGCCACCGATCTTTTCCTTGTCTCTCACTTACCGACGCGACAGCTGCTCTCCCCCCTCTTCAACTTACCCTTCCTTTCCTCTTCCCTTGCCTTCGTCCCCATCTACGTATGGTCCCGTCGTCACCCTTCCATTCCCATCTCTCTCTTTGGCATTTTCACTATTTCGGCGCCTTACCTTCCCCTCGCGCTCGTCCTCTTTTCGTGGGTAATTAGCGGTACTTGGAAAGCTGCCGCTGGAGATTTAATTGGGTGTGCGGTCGGACATGTGGGCTGGTTCATAAGGGACGTGTGGGCGAGGGAGATGATGGGCGGGAATGGTGTGTTGGGGGAGGCTCCGGAAATATTGTGGGTTTTCCATTCTCTTTGTTCTACCTTGGTTGTGGCTTTCCTTCTGTCCGTGTACTAACGAGAAATCAGGAAGCGGATTATGGGCGATATCTAATGAGATCGGCCGACGTTGGGGCAGTTCTCTGTGATTTGTATCCATACCAAACACACATTTGATATTGATAATTTCCTCTATCATACTCCGTCCTCATCTTTTTCATGACGAACGTATTCCTCGTTCCTCAGCCCACTTCACATTACTGGGTCATAACTGGCGATGAGACCACCTCGCTGCGCAGCAACATTAAAATTTACCTTCGGTGACTGGCTTGGAGTTGCCCCGCTCATTACCTGGCCGACTATCGAACTCTGTAGTTAGTCGATAAGTGTGTGCGCGACTCAGTCAATATACTGTCGACCTCACCGTTGGGATCGCGCGTAGCAACACCCGCTCTGACACTTGCACCAGGTTCATGGTCTTTCTTTGAAAGTCTCTTGATGTCCTCTTTCATGAGGTCTTCATCGGGAATTTTCTGTTTCGCATCCCCTGGAATTTGTTCGACTGGCTGGTTGCCGACAAAATCTTGTTTCGTCATGATGACGAGTGGGTATTGCACCAAGCAGGCTGTGGTCCTTTTTATCTGTCTGTCTGTCGTCGATGACATCACCCGTGGACGAGGGTTGACATCATCACACCGCGGCCGGCGATCTGCGTGAGTGGGTTTCGCCAGCCCCAACTTAGCAGCATCCAAGAAAGTTCGCATGTCCGAATACTGTAACGTGCTGCGGCCTCGTGCCATGTAAAAATAAGAGCACATTCGGCGCCTCATTGTAGTGTCCTTCTCCAAGCATGCCTGACCAGTATCGTACTGAAGAGAGAACTCTCAGCGGACGAGACACGTCTAACCCCAATTGCTTGCTCGCACTCGCCAAATACCATCTGACGAGACGGCGCGACGGCGAGTACGACCATTTGACATGCCCAGGCCTTCGCCGCGACTACTAACCCTTCCTGTTACCATCGCCCAGCGACACCGCACCCAAGACCCTTTCAAAGAGGTCATGCAGTAAATCCAATGGGATGGACGACCGGGGTGGAAAGAGCTCTGTACACCGCGCTCTTTTCGTTCCCGAAATCGTCCGTTTGATCTTTGGTTTCGTCCAAGCATGGGACGAAGAGAATCCGGCGGGAGAGTGTATTGGGTTCGTCACCGCAACGGGGGGCAAAAGATCACTCGCCTACCTCGCCAGGACGTGTCGTTTCTTTCATGAACCAGCCATCGATGCCCTTTGGATGAACCTCGAAAGCATCGATCCCCTTATCAAGTTGCTCCCTCGTAGAATGTGGGGAAAGAAACGCTGTCCGCTCTTGGTTGGTATCTCCTCATCCTCTCCCACCTGGCGATCGTCTCCACTCATAACCCGGTCCAGGTGCGCCGGTTCATGCGCAAGAAACACTGGGAAATATTCCAAAAGTACGCGTCACGCGTCAAAACCCTGCGAGGTCCCAGCTATGGCTTATCAACTGCCACTCAGCATACAGTAATGGCCGCCATCGCCAGCCACCCGAAAGCGACTCGACCCTTGTTCCCTCAGCTGACAGAGATCGTCTGGCGCGAGATTAGAATGTTCCATCCGAACGGAGCCATGTGTATCTTTGCTCAAGTACTTCATGGGTCCATCAGTCACCCAAATTACCCTTAAACTTAATTGTTGGCCTTACCACATCTCCTCTGAGATGGACGTCCTCGCCGAGATGTCAAAGTTGTGTCCGAACGTTGTCTCGTTCGCTGCACAATTTCCCCCCTCTTCACATAGTGATCCGTTCGAGGAAGTGGGAGACATCGTAAGCAATTGGAAGAAGCTCCGTGCTCTTCACAGTTGTGCGCTTCCTCAATCAGTAATGGACCAGCTCATTTCTCGAAATACACTTGAGTCACTTGCTATCGAGCTCAACAATTCCATTTACCCACCTTACTCCGGTCGTTTACCCGAATCACTCCATACATTTTCGCTCGGAGGAAGCAGTGCCATACTATGCACCCGATACCTCAAAAACGTCCATGCATCTCCCACTTCACTTACCATGCGTATTGGCGCAGACGACTCCACTATTGAAGATGTCGCCGAGCTTTTCCGCATCCTTCCTGACCACTTCTCTAATACCACTGTACAAACTTTTTCATCTGAACTGACGAGCTCATACTGGATGTCCCGGAGCACGGAATCTTTCCGACTTGATCTCGCTGTCCTTCAACCTATTCTTGTGTTCACATCCCTACGTATCGTCGACCTCTCTTTCTTCAGCACCGCCGGTCTCGACGATGACGCATGTACGACGATGGCCCGATCCTGGCCTGTCCTCGAGTCCCTCGAACTCGGTACCGCTGATATACTGATGGAGCGCCCCGTGGCAACCGTACGCGGACTCATGGCGTTCTTGGTACACTGTCCCTGCCTTACCAACCTTGCCATGGTGTTCGACGGCACGTGCCGTATCCCTGATGCGAGCGATATCCCTTCGGGGGTCGTCAACACCCGCATAGAGCAGATCAACGTCGCGCATTCGCCGCTTAAGGATGTCAATGCGATGGCAACATGTTTGGGAACGCTGATGCCGTGTCTAAAGAAGGTCGACATCGTGCAGATAGGGAGGGAAGATGATGGGGAATCTGAGGGACGATGGGATGAAGTGCAGAAGATGCTGACCTGTTCGTTGAGGTCACAGGGGATTAATACCGACTGAGTAGGCTTCTCTGGAAATTTTTTCATTCTCACTGCCAGTTAGGCATGACGAATGTTTCTTTTAAGGTCGACGGAGATGGTTCGCTTTCGGGCGATATGGAAAACTAATCAATGCTATGCTCGGCGCGATGACATGTGACGTCTTGGTTGTATTACGAAGCGACATAGTAGCAGGATGTACACTTTTGTAGGGTATAGTGTGGGCAGTAGAATTGACGGTAGAAGAGGTGTTGTATTTCTGATTTACGTGGCTGAGCGAGTGAACACGACGAAGTAGCCAGTGAAAAGCATTCATGTAACTTACACCCGCTCAAACATCGCAGACAGGGGGACTGTCCAGAGGCGGTACTATCTAAATCGAAGAAACCATTCTAGCTTCGAGCCTTGTCTGATGGACAAGTCTGAAGATCTGATGCGTGGGGCTGCTTATGTAGTATGGGAAGGCAGGAGGCTACAAATGGTTAGACGAGTTTTCGGCTTGGCTCGCCATTGAATGCAGTTAGTAAGAAAAGAGAACAGCGCAAGCCCTAGAAACTTCAGTCTGAGCTAGCCTGCAACAGACTTGAACCAAGCTATCGTCGTTTCGCCGCGAGGTGAGACAAGTCTTTGAGGTAAAATCAGCGGTTGCTTACCAGAGCGTTAGATTTAATACTTCCGACCTCTGGCAGCTCCTCAGGCGACTACTCTGACGTTGTTCATGTGGAGTGACTCGGTAAAGCATGATTATCTTGGAAAATTGACACTGTCATTCCGTTGACGCGGGCCGTCTACACCGGAAGTTTTTTTATGTCTGATTTCATGACATCACTGGGGCGGGTTTTCCAGATCATAGCAGAGGATCCAGCGATCCACACACCCAGCGCCTCAACGGTAATCCAGGTGATACCTACGGTCTTCCTAATGTGTCAATTTTTGAAAGGGTCTATACGACCAACAAAAAGACCGTTGCCATCCACTTCCGTACCGTTTCCCAAGCAATCTGCCGCCTATGACGTTACTACATCTGGTTTGGCAGTTCATCTTATCAACCTGGTTCAACTAACGTAAGTACTTTTCTTATGTGTATCATAAACGAACAGAGAGCGCCGCTTCTCCTCCCACCAAGTACTATCGCACCGGAGTCATTGGACGGCTCGGTGTTTTCGCCCTTCTTTCAAAACACACTCCTTAGAAACATGTGGTCCCTGTTAACCATCTCAGTTGCTTTCATTAGACTCGCTGACGCGCATATGGCCGCTTGGCACCCTGCCATGTATTGTTTTAATGTCAGTAAATGTTCATTCCCTTGGATTTTACCTCGCTGACAATGGGTGTTTACAGGGTACGACCCCGGGTCAGGTCAACTACAATACCAACGATGCAACGTTACCCTTGTACATGCTCAGCCAGAGTGATTATTGGTTCCACGGTATCAACAAGGTGATTCTATTCAACTGATGGGGTTTCCTGCGTACACTTATGCCGCATGTAGTGCAACGAATTTCCTCCTGCAGACGGCGACTTCCTAGAACTGTATGCAAAGAATTTTCCGTATCCTCTCCCCTTGTAACAACCCCACTAGTCCCGCCGGTGCATCTTTTACTGTCGAGATCGCCGACAACAGAGGTGTCACCACCTTATCTGATGACGGGAAACACGCTACCGACTGGCCCGATGGCGGTACCCATCCCGACAACTACTCGATTACGAACCTAGGAGGTGCACCGCTGTCATCTAGTGGATGCATTGCAGAGCCTAACTGTGCGTATAGTATCCCCGTTCTTCGATGTTCCAATGCAAAGAGCAAACACCTTCAGTCCACACACAAAATCAATCTATGGCTGCCGGATCGGCATTTGCAATTTCATATACTGTCCGTATCTCATCCGTTCCATATTAAAGTCGTTCCTAACCTGACAACCTCCAGTCCAGCTTAAGCGAGGTCACAGTGGATAACCTCGTGGTGTTTTCCGTGCGGTACAAGTACGGCGTGTTTTTCATTTTCGTTGCCTGCCTCCTCGTTCCTGACGCTCGTTCCAGCACGCCATGGAAACGGGTGACCAGCTACGACGTTCCTGCCGCGATGCCCGCCTGTCCAGCGGATGGATGCATATGTGCAGTACGTTTCCACGCCTTTATCTCTACATACATTGTCACTGACAAAGCTGTCCGGAATAGTGGGTATAGGTGAGTTGATGCGCGTTTTCAGTGCCTTTAATGTCAGTTAACCTCCGGACGCCACCGCTAGATTCCCGACGGATGTGGGCAGCCTAACATCTACATGGAGGGTTTCAAATGCAAGGTCACCAACGCAACCTCAATCACACCCGTCGGTACGCCAAAACCTCCCGTCTGGTGCGAGGAGGACCAGAGCCAGTGTGTCCAGGGTCCAAAACAGATCATGATCTGGAATCAAGCAGAAGGGAACAACATTGAAGTGTCTGGAGACGACTTGAGTGGGGAACCAAAGAGCCCGGCGTATAATTCCAAGTGCGGGTTCCAGGACGGCAAGTACTGTGTTACGGGGGTTGAGTGTCTTGTCACTGACCTGTTGCGTTATTTGTTTATAGGTGCTCAAGATGATATCTTCGCTTCAGGTGGCTCATCGAGCAAACGGATGGTTCACAAACGGGGGCGAGCCTCGTTCGCGTTTTGATCCTGCTCTCGGATGTCGCGGAGATGGATGGCCAGGTGCCATCCTCATGTGTGGTCGCACTCAGGCCGTCAGATGATGTTGCTTCGTTCGGGGTGCAAGGAACCCTGCTTATTCTGATATTTTTATTGCTTTTTTCGTTTCTGCTGGAACCGGGCCGCGGTGAAACTGGATGTCGAAGGCCTTACTCCATTCGTCTTACACCCATCTCGTGCTGTCTGTTGCATGGTCAGGAGTTCAGTCTTCGTAATAGGTTCCCACCTGTCCATGCAGGGTGACGGTGATGCCGACATCCGTTACATCTGTACTCCCCTTCTTCTTCGTCGTGCCCGGTCATTGGCAACATCCCGTTATCATTATTATCGTCTCATCCTGCTTCAAATTTGCCCTACCAACCACTGCTGGTCAGTGCCCTGTTCATACCAATTTTGTTGTACAAAATATATACCCTGTGGGAATGCGAGGCTTGATCACCTCGAGCTTGTGTGTGGTTCGATGAGAGTACTAGTAGGATCAGTCTAGCCGTATGTTAAGACACCAACTCTTTTCTGCCGTAGTTTCACAGCTCCTTCCACGCAATCTTCTTTGCCGCCGCCAGTGTTCCATGAAGTTAGGGGTAAATTTGCTTAGCTAATTGTTCTTGGCTGGCAAACACGCCCCGATCGAAGACGTGTTGGTCTACTAAGAATTTCAACCCCAACTACGTCCACTCGCCATTGTTTTGTTGCTAACTTATGTATCAGAAGTGTACTCTGGTCATACAGTCATGGCCAGCACAAGCCGACGCGGCTATAACTCACCTTCGAAATTCGGGCACGAAATCTTCTGAACTTCTATGCGCGCTGGTGTTCGGTATCTTCGATCATGGGGGAGTGGAAGGACCCTCTTAGGATGGTCATTTCCGCGGTCGAACAATTGCGCGATGAGACTCGTGCACCACGCATTTTCTGGCTTCAAGGTAGGCAGCTAGTGTGCCATCACGGAAACGACTGTCATAAGGGTCAAGCCGGGTTTGCCAAGATGAGGCACGACTCTGGCGTCGTGACGCTCTTGGACGCCCATTTTGTCAGCTGCGATGATGGCCCGTAGCTTGACGTGGCGTCGCCGCCGGTCTACGTGCTGGACCCTATGGGAACCGACACAATGGGCACGTCGAACCTGCAGCTCCACTCCACCCTCCGGTCCTCTGGGAGCGTGTACGGACCCAATATCCGCCATCGGCAATAATAGAAGGAACGACGAGGAAGCCCCTCCGTCATCTCTACTTGAACAACCCTCACCCCCATCGTGATATCAGAACTCCGACCTTCACTTAAATGGACCAAATTTCTGGGAAATCATCCCCGTCGCGCAGTCACGGTGATGAAATGATGGTTAGGGACGATGCATTTCATGCAACACTTCCAACCTTCCGGTTGCATGCAAGGGTCTCAAAGAGCACCCAAATGCCTCGCCCCGCATGGTTATGTCTGATCGAGATGGAGAGAGGGTGTATTTTTGGGATTGATTGCGTTTGCCGCCGGAAGATTCCGCGTTTAGCGGTTGCGATGGTAGTTTGTGGTTGGCAGGTGACGACAAAATGGTGTATCGCGGGTTCGAGCAGTTCGAGCCTATCCGTAGAACAGGGTTCAAAACGCTAGAAGATTCAACGAAGATGAACCACCAACGCCGGTCCACCGCTATCGGGCCCTGTCTGACCAGCGAAGAACGGGGTCGAATTCCCGCAAGTGTCTTCTGTAAGACTTGCACTCGCTATCGCGCGCGCCTCCTGCTATTAACGACTTCGTCCCTGATGACGATTTGTAAAAACAAACATGAAACAAGTGCTTCCGCACGGTGAACGGAATTAGAAACCCCCGCTCAACTCGATTTAGATGCTGGGCGTTTATCATGGGTGGCTTTTGTTGATCTCGCTGTAGAGGGCCACATGCCAATCAACCCGTATCGATGCAACGTCAAATTTTCCGTCTCGGCGTATCGAATTGGATAGATGTTCCTGGCTTCATTGACAGTGACCGCCTCGATGGGGTGGATTGTTTATCTGGGTCCCCGCCGTGCTTATAAGAAGGAAGATCATGATGGTCGTCACAGGTCCAGTTCAAGTCGCTCCCTTCACCTTCCTTTCGTCCTCGCTCTGCAACAGTTCTTGTTCGCTCTTTTCGGTTTTTGAGTAGTGGGTCCTTATCGCGACTGCTACGCTGCGATGTTGCCTTTATTGCTGTCTATCTTCACCCTCTCTGGATTCGCCGCTGCCCACTTGGCGGCGTTCCACGAGGCAATGTACTGCTTCAACGTGCGTGCTTCGTGTTCAGGCCGGATGGTCCGCAGGGGCTGATATTGTGGTCAGGGCACTACGGCGGGTCAGGTCAACTACAACACCAACGACGCTGTCAATCCTCTGTGGGACCTGGCGCAGAGCGATTATTGGTTCCATCACGTCAATAATGTGCGTTTCACAATTATCTTCGATGGTGACTTAAACTCCTGCTAATGGTATGGCAGTGCGATCAGTTTCCCCCGGCACCGGGTGACGTCCTTGAACTGTACGTATTCACATGTGTCACGCTTAGTTTTGTCTACGTTTTCTCAAACGACGCTACGACATATAGTCCCGCTGGCGGGTCTTTCACAGTCGAGATCGCGGGAAACAGGGGCGTTACTAGTTATTCCTTCAACGGCGAGTACGCCACCGAGTGGACGGATGGGCAGAACCATACTGGGTCTACCGATGTGCTCACACAGGCTACATACTCGTCGGAAGGATGTGTTGTGGATCCTAATAGTAAGTTCTCGCTTTGCTGCTTTCTTTCATCGAGATTGAATCCCGACTGCTCGTTAATTTTGGAAACAAGTTCATACGCAAAACGAGACAATGGCTTCCGGGACGGCATTTGCGATTTCATATAATGTTAGTACCTCTCCGCCCTACCTTTGGTAAATGCCGGTCACAGTTGCTGACTATGTTTAATTAATTCATGTTGAAAACAACAGTCTGAACTGAGTCAGGTCACGCTGGACAACCTCGTGGTATTTTCAGTGCTGTACAAGTGCAGACGATTCTGTTCTCAAGTTATTGTTCCATACTGATAAGTTGATATGGTTACAGTACACCGTGGAAACGTGTAACAACCTATGATGTTCCTGCTGCGATGCCCGCTTGTCCATCCGGTGGCTGTATATGCGCAGTAAGTCCCGCTCGCCATATGGTTGTCCACGGAAGTACTAACCGAGGTCTCCATTGCAGTGGGTCTGGGTGAGCGCTGCCGCCGATCCGTTGTTCCGACTTCCTTATAATGGCTGATCTTTTCAGATCCCTAACGGATGTGGCGAGCCCAATATCTACATGGAAGGTTTCAAGTGCACGGTCACGAACGCCATGTCAACGACACCAGTCGGTACGCCGAAAGCGCCGGTATGGTGTGAAAGCGACCAGAGCGAATGTGTCCAGGGCCCGAAGCAGATCATGATCTGGAATCAACTGGAAGGCAACAACATCGAAGTGAGCGGAAATGATCTCAGTGGAATGCCGAAGAGTCCTGCCTACAATGCCAAATGCGGGTTCCAAAACGGTGAGTCTGGGAATGAATGTTAATTTTCTAAAATGCTGACGTCCCTCATTGCTGTGGCTCCGTGGTCTTGTGGGTATGTAGGTGCCCAGAACGATATATTCGCCACGAGTACGTCTAGTAAACGCATGGTGGCAAGGCACAAGCGCCCCGCGACCGCTCTCTGAGCTTGCGTTCGCGGCGAGGGTGACCAGGTGTCATCAGCGCCTTTTCTCCTACTCCTGCTTGCCAGTTTTCTCGTTCGCGTTAGATAGCTTCTTTGCGTTCGCTGTTTCGGCTTTATTCAATCCCCTCAAAAGTTCCTTTTATACCCTCGTTCATTCCAAGAAAGTACGTGCTCCTTCCTTTCCGTTGAGCGGCATTCGCGTGTCGAATATGCACTGGAGATGACTGCGGTGCTGGGCCATCTGAATTCTTCGCTATACCCAGGGAATAACTAAATAGAGGTTGAAGAAGTATGCTTTTTTTTATCGTTGCGTTGCCTGTATTCATATTGCTACTTTTGACCTGGTTTAACCGTCGTGTACACTTGGATTTCTTATCAAGCTGAATTAGGGGCACTTGTTTGACAGAGCTACGGATTTACTTCCGCTGTGGGACAGATCAGACAGATCAGAGGATGCCTTTGCTTACCCAAACTCAAGTAAACTCTAGCGCTGGAAAACTCGCTGCTTTTCACCATCCTCTCATCTGTAAGTTGGTTTTCCGCTTTTCAATTCCGTCCCTGGAACCCAGTTTGGAGCCATAAAGGATAGAGATGGATACTAACTCTCATCTGCTCTGTGCCCATGAGCTTGATGCCATCGCGTAGGAATAACTACACCGCTACCGAGGTATTCGATTTTGATGGCGTGTGCAGTACCCGCCCCGAAGAGCTCGACAACACGCCCAGTTTCCGTGATGCCCACTTGTTTGTGTGAATCAAAGAATAAAAGAAAACGGGAGAATGGCAAGAAGGGACACTTTGAAAATAGGTCCAGCAGCATACATGGATATAGCTTTACAATGTTATATAATGCCATTACAATGGTGAACCCAAGTATGGCCAATGGAAAATCAAGGAATATCAAGGTATAAGGCTAGTAGTGATGAGCACGGGGAGTACAATAAGCTTGCACCGCGGAGCAGACAATGGGTGCACTATGAAGTTTCCCACGATTGACACGTGGGCCATTACCTAATATATCTACCAAGCCCATTGTTACGTAATCACATACCCCTGGCGACCAGCGTCCATAATTGAATTTGCAATGGCCGACGATAAAAACAATCGAGACCGGCGAAGATGCAAGGCTTTTCGCTCTCTCTCTCTCTTTCTTTCTCTCGCGACGCTCTCTTCGACGACCCCGCTCTTTACTACCTACTGACCTACTATGTGGACCATAGCATGGCTTGTAACAGCCCTGGCTGGACTCACCAGCGCACACCTGGCAGCATGGCACCCGTCAATGTACTGCTTGAACGTGCGTCCTCAAATTCATTTATCCCCTGTGGAACACAGTGACAGACGAGGAAAATTAGGGTACAACGCCAGGACAGGTCAACTACAACACAGACGACGCGGTGTTACCTTTGTGGATGCTCAGCAAGTCAGATTATTGGTTCCACCACAGCAACGGGGTACGTGCCAGCGTGGAACAGCGCATATATTCGCAGCCTAACATCGTTTTGCAGTGTGACCAGTTCCCACCCGCCGAAGGCGATGTCCTAGAACTGTACGTACCTCCAGACCAAACTGAACTTTCCCCCTTTTAATGCATGGCGCACAGACCCGCAGGCGGGTCATTCACGATCGAAATCGCAGATAATAGAGGTGTTACTTCTTTATCTTATAATGGAACCCACGCAACGGAATGGCCAGATGGCCTGAATCACACTGGGTCCACCGATGTTCTCCTTGATGCCACCATTTCGGACGGCTGTATCACCTCTCCAAACAGTGAGCCTTAGGACCTCCATTATCTCTTTGAAAACCTCATCATAGTTTGTTAGTACATACTCAAAACGAGACAATGGCTGCCGGAACAGCATTTGCTATCGCATACAAGGTGTGCATCTCATCGTTCGTTTCAAGGCACGACATGTTCCTTATCGCGAGATTACTTAGTCCGAGCTCAGCGACGTTACGTTGGAAGATTTGGTGGTCTTCACGGTTCGGTACAAGTGCGGCATTTTTCCTGGTCCGTCCGTATGGTTTCCTGACGACGCTTGTCCCTGTAGCACGCCATGGAGACGACTGACGACGTATGATGTTCCCGCCGCGATGCCGGCTTGCCCCAGTGGAGGATGTATATGCGCAGTAAGTCTCTTATTTGTTTTTCCGCCAGCATACCCGCTTACAAACTCATGACAGTGGGTCTGGGTAAGTCAACTCGGTCAAGAATCCACTCCACGCAACCACTTGACAACTCCATAGATTCCAAACGGATGTGGCGAGCCCAATATTTACATGGAAGGCTTCAAATGTATGGTGACCAATGCCACCTCCACCACTCCCCTCGGAACACCATCCCCACCGGTATGGTGTGAAGAGGATCAGAGTCAATGCGTGCAGGGACCAAAACAAATCATGATCTGGAACCAGCTCGAGGATAACAACATTGAAGTGAGCGGTTTTGATTTAAGCGGGATGGCCAAGAGTCCAGCATATAATTCCAAGTGCGGCTTCAAAGACGGTAAGTGCGCGTTTTTCCCGATTGATCAGGATGAGGCCTTATGTGATGTGTGATGCAGGTGCGCAGGATGATATATTCGCGACGAATACGTCTTCGACGCCAAGCACGTCGTCATCTCCGACTACAACACAGACTACGCAAACCACCCCTACTACCTCCTCCATGTCGACCGCATCCTACACGTCTGCTACGCCAAGTACATCTCCCCCTACCACTACCCCCGGTCCATCCTACTCGGCTCCGTCCAACTCAACTCAGCCTTCCGCGCCTATACCGTCCTGTTCCGTTTCCCCTTCCACACCCTCACCGTCCACTCTCTTTCCACCTTCCACACCTTCACCGTCTTCTCCTTCTCCACCGTCTGCGCCTTCGCCTTCCTCTTCACCCCCATCCAACCCCATTCCAACCTCACTCCCACCTCCTTCATCAGCTAGTAACTCTTCTTCCGGCGCACCCTCAAACTCCCGCATCCCCGCGTCCATGCATTCCGCCATCCCTTATGCCACACCTCCTTCCAACACTGCTATCGTAGCCAGTACCCCCTCGCCTTCGACAGGGAGCCCTACTTGTAAGCGGAAGCGGATGGCGCACAAGAAAAGACGGTCCATTTTACATTAAACCGTGGTGCAGATTGCCTCACGAATGATGAATCGATGATCCGGTGTCGTCGGTTTTCCGTCACGGGACGTCGTACGTCCCATCTGGCATACGAACTAGTGTTGCTTCGTTATTCGTTGTTTATGATTTTTTCATGATTCTCTTGCATGCTTGAATGCTGCGCCGGGTCACGGGTGACAATAGGTTTTCGTTTATCTTGGTAGATAGGAAGAAAATCGAGGGAACACTGGTCGTCTAAGCGACCGTCTGTGGTTGCCGACATCTTTTTATACCAACCCCTGTTGTATTTTATTCCATATACCTCAAGTCACTATCGTTGCTTCTGTTTGTCAGCCTAGTGATCTTTGGGTTTCGATTCGCGTCGTCAGACCGCTCCGCTTCCCCACCTGTAGAAAAAACAAACCAGCGAGTCAGATAAGGATGAATGGAACCCGACCTAACCTGACGCGACGGAGGACGCCTTTGTGTTGGTCGAGTCGCCCGACATCTACTGGGTTGTACTGAGCCAGCTTTTCTGATAGAATCCAAATCCTCGCGGTCAACATCAAGATTCGTGTGTGTGGGTTGGCGTGGGCACGCGGAACATCGTATGGCTCTACGTGGTGAAGTTAAAATGCCCTACATATGGCTATGACCAGTTCATGACCTGGCTTATGTATTTTGTCTTAAACAGATACTATTCCTATGTCCCCCCGTGATGCTGAGCGTCAGTACTGCGCTAGCCATACACGAATGGCAGGTGAGGCTGCGTTCTCCCGGACATGATAATGAACTGCAGTCGATCCCTGCTCCCAATCTCTGTGCACAGTACATAAGAGGGTGGCTCCCGAGAGAATACTGCGCAAATCTCCGCTATGCGTCTCATACTCTCTTCCGAAGGTGTGCGAAACACGATTATGACCAACGAGAATGGTCAAGTTCTGTACAAAACCTCTGCACCTTTCCACTTCGGAGCTCGCACGACCACGCTCTACAAAGTCATCCCAAATGCCGGTCCAGATGATATGCGGGACCATTTGGAGGTCATAAGGGAGATTGAATGGCATTTGACGGGTTCATCTGTAATGCGACTCCATGGGCAGGAAATGATGACAGATACATTCATCCCTCGGCATGGAATCAGAGGAAGGTGATAGACACATTGTTTTCCGGTGTACATTGATATAGGACTCATGTTGTTCAATCTAACCTCACACAGGAGGCGCATGTTCACGGGACCGGATGGTCTTCCCTACAGGTGGGAAATGAACCTCAGGATCGTCAGAGTATGTACTTGGCTTAACGTTATCTTCCCCACACCCCTCAGCTTTGATAAGGTGGGTACTTGCACGGTTACCACGCGATAATGCAAATAGGGAAGAACTCGCACGGTCACACAGGTGAAGCCTCGGTATTATTTTGGGTCCAAAAGGGACCCTTTCCTCGATGTTGATCCCAGTCTTGTGCATATGCTCCACACGGTCGTACTCACTTTTGTCTATGTAGAAAAATTGCGGATGGACGATCAGGGACAAGCGCAACTGGGTCACGGTGGTAGTGGTGGTGGTAGTGATCCATGAAACGCCTGTCTGTATGTCGCGGAGCTGACTGGTGGTCGTCGCTTGTCTCCGCCAGGCTTTTTACCGAGAACATATCATGCATGATAGTCATCCATTCATTGAATCCACATGCGTCAGACCTCGTGGGTGACAACCTCCTTTCGACACTGCTATCGTAGTTAGTACCCCACTGCCCTCGACAGAAAGCCCTACCTGTGAGCAGAAGCGGATGGCGCACAAGAAAGATGGTCCATTCCACGTTGGCGACATCGGTCCTCAGTGACGGGACGTCGGATGTCCCGTCCACATGAATTAGTGTCGCGTTGTTATTCGTTTATACTTTTCTCACTATCTGCCTGTATGCTTGACGGCTGTCCATCGTTGGTGTTATCTTTATATGATACTCGTTTAGACCAACCCCTGTTGTATGTTATACCGCAAGCCACTATTGCTTCCCATCCGCTGTGTCATGTCGTTTGAGGCATTTTATAAACATGATCACGGAAGTTATCTTCGAGCTTCCAAGGCTGTCATATCAATGTCGTTCCACCGCCACGTGTCAGTGGTGCGTAGGTGTCGCTAGCCCTTCCTTGCAGCTACCGTCACCGTGGAACATATGTATGACCTTCGAGTTCGATGGCCAGCCCATACCTACTTACGACGCTATGCACCTCGTCGCCTTGACATACTATCTCGCGGTCGTCTATGCAGGTGACGCGTCATGCATCACGCCATCTGCACCCACCAGTAATTGCCATCGTTGCGTGTGTTGACCATCGCTCTGTGGATGGAACTATGCAATCGTGAAAGCACAGCAATTGACAGGGCAGAATATTTACTCCGAGGGTAATCATAGAACTGACCTAAACAGTGGCTGTCGTAGGGAACTGTCGAAGTCGCCGGAGCATCTACATCGCCGCTCGGTGATAAAATTTTTACTCACGAGGCAACGGCTTGGGGGATTTGCACCATCATGCCGCTGAACTTCTTCTCCCACTAGCAGAGAAGAAAAAAAAAGCAAGTCAAAGGACGCTGTCAAGATTTGAATTATGCTTTCGAACCAGTGTTGTGGGACGTTATGTATGTACCTGTTGTTTTCAACTGGATGGTCGCATGTTGGCGTTAGCTGATCATGATGCATGACATCTGACAATCAACTGGCTATGACCTTCGCAACCATACTTATATATCTTACTTGGAGCAGATGCTATTACGGAGCGCAAGTGCCTTGGGGCCGCGCTTACCGAGGTTGCGTTCTTCCAGACACGAAAACGAACTCCAGTCGATCTCTTCACTTTGCTTCCAATCTCTATGTACTGTACTACATAAGGATGTCACCCCCCGAGAGAATACCACGCAACCCTCCAGCGCCATGTGTCTCATTCTCTCTTCCGAGGGCGTGTGAAACACGATTATGACCAACGAGAATGGTCAAGTCCTGTACAAAACCTCTACACCTTTCTGCTTCGGAACCCGTATGACCACGCTCTACAAAGTTGTCCCAAATTCCGATCCAGATGATATGTGGGACCATTTGGAGGTCATAGGGGAGATCGAATGGCGTTTTTCAGGTCCATCCGTAATGCGACTCCATGGGCAGGAAATGATGACAGATACATTCATCCCTCGGCATGGAATCAGAGGAAGGTGATCCACTTATTGTTTCTCATATGAAATATCCATAGGACTCATGTTACTCAAACCTCACAGAAAGTGCATGTTCATGGGACCAGATGATCTCCCCTACAGATGGGACATGGGTTTCAGGATCGTCAGAGTGTGTACTTGGCTTAATGTCTTGCCCATCTTCCGGCTTTGAACAGGTTTTGGTATACAGTTATCATGCAATGATACTACTTGCCAAGAACTTGCGTGGTCACACAGACAAGGCCTCAGTATCATTGGGCCCAAGAGGGGACCTTCCCTTGATGTTGATCCCAGTCTCATGCATATGCTTGACATGGTCATACTCACTTTTATCTTTGTATAAAAATTGTGGAAGGATGACCAGTGCTCCAAAAAGTAAAATAACTAAATATCAGCATCACAGATACTGAAGTCATGGATACATCTTCTCAGTGTCACTGCAAATTGTGTATGCGAATTTCAATGTCAGTGGATGAAAATAGTGCTATAGCATTACATAGCATGTGAGGGAATTAACATAATTACAAAGTGCAGTGACGATAATTTAATATAATTATGAGCCCCAGCCTCTCACACACCTTGGACATGACCCTATGCCTCTTCTGATCTTATATTCCTTTAGGCCCTCAATAGAGAGCTTGTTCCCTTGCAGCTGGATGTATGTGACCCATGCTCTGGTAAGTGAGGAGTGTCTGTACTGGATGGAGTGAATGGACACCACTTGTTATGCTCTGATGTGGTGACTTTGTCAAATGGACTAGGCATGGTTGGATGGAGGGACACATTAGTGGGCTGAACTTGTCATAACCCCCTGTGGCTTGTCTACTAACCCTGACTTTGATAAGTTCCCTCTGTTAGGAGTATACACCTGATGTGAGAGGAATGAGAGAAAAGAGTATATTTGAGGTGAGTTGCAAGGTAGTGAAAAACTGAGGGTACAGAGTACATATCATACTCTGAGTCATAAACCTCCTGGTGGAGGGTGTACAATAATTCTGTAAACAGAAAGTCACTGCAGAGGTAAATGATGAAAATAGAAATGAGTCACTGTGACTCAGCAGCAGGGTGAATGAGGCCCAAACAGGCTGGTGCAATTATGTGCAGTGAGGGGGCAGAGTTATGATGAGGATGAAATGTATCAAATATACTATACAGCAGTAAAATGATAAACAAAACAAGGGAAATGTACAAGTAAACAATCAAAGCACAGTGATGACACTACTTAGGTGGCCCTAGACCACTAGACTCCTCCAGGGTGGTGTGAGATCCAGACCACTGTGAGTCAAAGTGTGTTTCAGTGGTGTAAACCAACCAAAGCCAAAACAAAAGACAATGAAAGTGAGTGTTGGTGTGCCTACATCAGCAAATCATGAGTTTACTTATCCTTACTTGACAGCTACTTAACACTTGCCTATCATACCAACTGCCAAGCAGCTGTCTGCTTGGATAAGTAGATCCTTCTGCTGGATGCTTACTAAGCACTGCTTATTTTTTACTTAACATGTGCTTAGCTTATTAGTTTCTTACTTGAAATAATGTTGGTTCTGTTCTGTCAAGCAGATAAGTAGCAACAAAGTGCAATTAATATCTGCTAAGCACATGCTAATTAGCAGTGAAGTAAATTATGTGGCAGTAAGATCAAGGGATTGAAAAACATAGACAGACTAATGATAGCAAGTGGGAAGATGTATTAGAGATCCTGTTGTGGACTCAGTGGATCATATAAGCAGTAGGGAATGAAAACCTACAGATAAGTGCATACTTGTTGTCAGATCCTGCATCACTCGACAGCTTGGGGTTGAGTTCTTGCCCTATCACAAGCAAAGCAAGGGCGAGCTCTACAATGACTTGAAGCTGAGCAATAAATCTTCTCTTGGCAGCCCCCATAAACTTCCTCATTGGGGCTCCCCAATTCTGGTCTGAAAACATGCATGCAGTCTTGCTATCCTTGCCCAAAGCCATGTTGTATTTGATGGGGGTCCACACAAACCTCATTGCCACTTTGGCAATACCATCTTTGACATTGACAGGGGACTTGAGCTTGATGTCACCAGATCTAATGAGGTTCAAGCCATGTGAGAGGTAAAAAACTAATCAACACTGTAGCTATGAAAATGACTTGATAAATGTTACTGAAGCAGCACAAAGTCCAAGAGCACCAACAATACCATGCTTTGCCAAAGATGAAGTGTCAAGAGTGGGGACTTGAACATATCCTTTGGTTGCAATCAAATGGCTGCTCAGCAGCAGCTGTTGCACAAAAATAGAGTGGAAGGCCTTCTCAGGAACAGTCATGTCAAGGTCTTCATATAAGAATGTGAAATGATTGAGTAATAGTTTTGCAGTGTTGGCAGTGTAAGTAACTGTTTTCTGATGGCCAAGGACTCTGACTCCAGAAGAGGTAGGTTCTGCTCAAGTCAGGTCAACCCTGAAGGGGCTTTGGTCTGGATACAGGATAAGTGCTTTAGATGAACAAAAGGGAACTCACCCAAGAGGAAATTTTCTAGACTGTAAAGAAGAACTTGATGAAAAGGAGCTGAAGTGGTGATTTTTCCTCTCCAAAGCAAGACACAGAGAAGACAGTGATCCTTGTACAGTATTCTTGTCTGTGCTGTACCATAGTCTCTAAGTGATGTGGCACACACTGTGACCACCCACATGCTTAGTCAGCTCTCAACTTTTTGACACTAAGTTCTCTCAGCCACAACCCCTAAGTCTGAACCCCCTTTGACCCTTCACCTACACTTTCCACCCTCAAACCTTTCCTTTGACACACTAGAGGCATGACTTCTCATAGGGAAAGGTCTGTGTTCCCTACATCTGAGGGGGGGTTTGGATGCCAACTGTCCTTGGTTGTCCCCTCTCCCTGTGTAGATGTCCTTGGCTTCATACCCATCCTCACTAACCCCTTCTCCATGCCCCACACCCTCTGACTCTCCTTGCCTTCCCTTCACTTGCTTTGTTCTGTATCACCTTCTACCCCACACTCAACCCCCTCTTCCTCCAACAGTGTCTCCCTTTGATCTTGAGTCCACACTGCACTCCTTGAGCCCTTCCCTTACTCTCACCAACATCCCCAGACTCCTTGTAGCCAACTCTCCTGTACCCCCTCCCTCACCTTGCACCCTTGATTTTCCACACCTCCAAAGCCAACCTGTTTCCTGAGTGACGATCAGAGTGCTTCAAACACACAAACAAGTGAGTGATAAATTGAGTGTGGAGCAAGGTAGGGACAGCTTGTCAAAACACAGCCAGTGGTAGAACTGTGACAGGGCATTCACACAGCACAGCAGCTGGGGGGTAGTGACCCTCTGTATATACGACCTGGCTTGAAGATTATTATATACCTGTAAAACCCTCTATCAGCAATGTATTCACAATCCTACAAGAGTGCATTGTGTGCTCTCGACTCTGTTTCATCCTTAAGACAACTTAGCAGAAATGAAACCAAGAAAAACAAAAACTTGAACCCCAGGAGACTTCTTCTGCTTGACACCACATTCTTTTTATGGTACACCAGCCCCTCTCTCAACTCCTGGACTTGTGCATCACATGCAGGAATGAATTTTGTCTGGTGGTCAACATGAGGAGCACAGTCTCATGCCTTTTAGCTTGGTCCTATGGTGCATAATGATACCAGTGGCCTTTGACTTGTGTTTCTAGTATCCCCATCTCTTCATATGTACCTGTAGACTCTACTGATGATGCATTTTTCTATTTACCTCTGAGAGCTTTCTGTTTCTGCTCTCTGCCTTTTCTGATGATGAAAACAAAGCATTTTGATGTAGTATATGTTTGAACCACAATAAAATACTTCACCTTGAACTAGAAGCTTCTTGAGTCTACTTCAAAGATAGGTCTTTGACACTGATGGCACATAGTGTAGTCACATTTAGTCACAACACATGGGCAGCCTGTGCGCCAAAACACCAACACTCATATAGACCCTGAGACAGGCCCACCTAAATAGATTAGCCAGTACACATGGACAGGCCTGAGGGACTAAAGTGAGAGCAACATATGTACTGGCCTGTAAGTGCATTACCACAACATATGGGAGGGCCTGCAGTGGGTAAAGATGTTGAAACATTTAGACAGGCCCATGACCAATTAAGTATACTGAATTGCTGTAAGACATGGATGGGCCCATCCTGGTAGGTTACCCCCCTGTTGCAACATCAAGGCAGGCCTGCCTATCATAACATGGACAGGGTCACAACATAAGGATGGGCCTGTCTATGATTAGAATACAAAGTTGGCAACATATGGATGGGCCTGGGAGTAATATCATTTATGGTGTCACAACATCTAGACAGGCCCATTCATAATAAGCCATACCCCTGTTGCAACATAAAGATGGGCCTGTCAGTAATGTCATTTCATAATGTCACAACATAAAGACGGGCCTGTCAGTAATGTCATTTCATAATGTCACAACATACAGATGGGCCTGTTGACAGTAAGATGTACTGCTGTTGAAACATAAAGATGGGCCTGTCACTAGTATCATTTAATAGAGTCACAACATAAGGTTGGGCCCATCAGTAGTATTATGCAACATATGGATGGGCCTGCCCACAGTAAGATGTACCTCTGACAAGACATAAAGATGGGCCTGTCAGTAATCTCATGTATAGCATCACAACATATGGATGGGCCCTTCAGTAGTATTATTTATATTGTCACAACATATGGGTGGGCCTGGCCCCAGTAAGATGTACCCTGTTGAAACATAAAGATGGGCCCATCAGTAATGCTGTTTAATAGCATCACAACATAAGGATGGGCCCTTCAGTAGTATTGTTTATATTGTCGCAACATATGGATGGGCCCATCAGTAATATCATCTAATAGCATCACAACATAAGGACAAGCCCTTCAGTAGTGTCATGTATATCATCACAACAAATGGATGGGCCCATCTAGCAAGATGCACCCCTGTCACAACAGAAGGACAAGTTTGTGTATGGTATTCTTAGGCAGCAGAAAGGGAGATCCAAGCTATCTACATAAGGATGGTCTGTGTAAGGCATTCTCAGGCAGCAGAAAGGGAGATCAAAGGGATCTACATAAGGACAGGCCCATCCATGGTATTCTCAGGCACCAGATAAGGGAAAACAAAAACCAGTGTTACAACATAAGGCAGGCCGATCCATCCATCGCAGGATTACAAACCATTGGCACTGCATAAGACAGGCCAATCTGTCATATCATAGATAGCTCACCACAAATGGATGGGCCTATCCATAATTGGGTTATCCCCCTGTCACAATATAAGATGGGCCCAGGAAGACAAGAAATGAAGAAAGTGGAACCTCTTGCACTATTGAGTATCTGAATTTCCCACTATAAATTGTGTTTCATGTTGGACAATTTGCCTATTTAGTTGGAATCTCAGGTGCTGGTCTATGTAGCTGTGAGCCAGGCTCTGCCATTGGAGCAGATGGGAAACATGCAAAACAAACAGCAATGCTATTCCAGAACAATGCATCATATCTTTATCTGAGCTTCTGCTTCATATATGCATTCAGGATTATTGACTTGTACCAGTATTGCCATCATGCCATGGGAATCATTCATAGGTGGGATAAAAAATGTGACATCTGCATATCTTGTTGTCCATCTTTAACCTCTGACTCTTCCACTCTCCAATCACCATCACCACTCTCACTGTCAAACTACTCCATCATCTCATCATCAGAAACATGTCATCATTGTCATCTTGCAAGCTCTTCAAGAAATTGCCTGAGCTTGATGCTGCAGCCAACTGCATCCTTCAAATTTACTTCAAGGATATCATGGAAAGCAGCAAGCTGGGAAAGGTGGACAAGATTATGAAGTGGAGAGGTGCCATCAAGGTGATAAATGATGAACTAGTGCATCATAGCATCATCACATTTTTTTCACTAACTGATGTATTCAGGATGCTGTACATGACCTCATTGCTAGGACAGATGAGATTCCAATGACCCTCATTGGCATTGACACATTCTTAAAGTGGCATGAAGACCTTGGCTTGATTAAGCACCTGTGGCCTGAGTGGAAGACTGCCCTATCCCCTTCCAAAACTGATGTTGCCAACCACAAGTGGCTCAACATTGTTGAGTGTTGATACGACTACCACTGGTTGGGCCTCCCTATGCCCTGCATTGTGCCAACACCAACACCACCTGCTCAAGAGACTGAAATGCCTATGAGTGACAAAGGAAAATGGAAAGCAACCAAGGCAGAGGTGGAGCAAATGATAGTGGATAGCTTGCACAGGATGGAGGTGGATGATGAGGGTGAAGATGGGGTGCCAGAGAAGGAGGACAACAAGGAAGAACCAGAATGAGGCAGGCAGAAGCACAAAGCTGCTGTGAAAATGATGTCCCATTGATCCAGACATTGATCCCACTCTAGGAAGGCAACAGTGGAAACTGACAATGATGAAGACATTCCCACTCAAGGCCAATTGAAACACAAGCCTTGTCCACCATTGGACAGACTATATGGTCGCACTGCCATAGCTGCCAGAAGGATGCCTTCCCCCAACCCCCATTCCTGCAGCTCATGCCACAGATGCAAGGTCTGATGCTACAAGAACCCCAGGAAGTCCTGCTTCCCATGCAATGGTTGCAAAATTCAATGTAGCCATGCCAAAGGCAGGATTTCCACTCCAACTCGACAGAATCCATCATGAGCCAGGGGAAAAAAGCAAGCTCGAAGTCTGTCCCCGACGATGGAGGCCCAAGAATCCCAAAGTCCAAAGGAATGTCCCCCAAAGCAACACATTTCAATGGCTTCCAAAGCCATCAATGCTGGGGTTGGGCCCTCCAACCAGGGAGAGACAATCCCTGAGGGATCTTCACTCAGTATGTTCACAATTTCATGTATTTATGCTGACTCAAATTTTATTTAGAGATTCATATTCCTGCATTCAAATGCAGGGATTCCCACCCAATCCCAGCTGCTGTATGAGCAGATTCGATCATTGAGGCTGGCCCATCCATTGCGCAGGAGGTAGAGGGATCTATGGCAGCAGGTATGTTTAATCAATCTACATTTACACTAATTATCACAGTTAACCCTTGTATTCAAAGCAGACACCTGCCCATTGACAACAGCAGCACCTGTCCAACTCGCAACTGCTGCAACTCCCAGTGCGCTGTCACCTGTCTGTGCCCCAATCGCCAAGGTGTTGCAAATGTCCAACACAATCAAAGAGTGAATTGAAGATTTGGAACGTTGACTCTGCAATGCTGAGGCCCACTGCCAATACTACGAGGATTGAATGTATGATTTCCAAATACAAC